CTCAAAAGAGACATTCATCTTTACTAAACACATGTGAAAGTTTTACAACTGAGCTACTCAAAATAGCCATTCATCTTTACTAAACACCTAGGAAAGTTTGACTACTAAGCTACTCAAAAGAGCAATTCATAATGAGGGCTGGCATTCTGTGCTTCTGCTTGTTCAGTTACATAGCAACTCAAGATATGAGTTCAACAACCTGTTTTACAACTGAGATTTTCGCCAGAACCAGAAATGCCTTCAAAATAGCAAATCTACCTAACCGAACTAAGCACTACAAGGGAGATGAATGACTTCAAAAGTAGAATAGCCCACAACTACTCTTCATAGATTCTCCATTTGCAAGCCTTGGCTTGGTGGCTGGGACACGTGACTTGATGGCCTACTTGAACTTCCCTCCAAAGTTCATGTATGTGAGTATGTTTCTAAAGGATGTTGAAAATAAGAAACGTAATACAAAATTATAAAGTTATGCATCTGGCATCAATTGGACGACTTGTGGCTGACTCGGTGATTGTGTTGCACCCTTAGATTCTTTGGCTTGCAGCTTCTTCAATGCTGCTAGCCTGTTTCTTTAAGCTCTTTCACACTGCCTCTTCATTTCTGCTTCTTTCTTTTCCTTCTTTTTTGCTTCTTCCCTCTTTTTCCTTGCCAAATCCTTTGCCTCTCGATCCTTATGAAAGGTCTTGTTGTGTCCAACCTCACCACAAGAAGTACACTTATACTGCTTCTTTGCAGGCTTTGCAACTTCTCTTTCAGATTGCTTCTGCCTTTTCTTACTTCTTTCATGTTCACCAGCTTCCTTTCTTCTTGCTTTCTTTGGTCTTTCTCTCTTAGTGGATTCACGAAGAGCAGGAACCCCAACCTCTCCAAGTTCAGACACATGCCAATACTCTTTACCAGCCGTTGGTGATATGGAATGCTCATAAATTCTAGTGGTTGTTTCTTTTCTATAACAATCAGCCACGAAGTCATATACCCTAAGTTTTGCCCTACCAATTGCTTGAATGGCATGTTCACATGGAATACCTGTCAACTCCCACCTTCTATAAGTACAAGTCTTGTCTCTCAAATTAACTACAACTTGCTTGTTGTACCACCTCACCTCAAACTCCCCATTTCCGTTTGATTCAGCCCCCTACTTAAGAGCTTCTTGTTTCAATTTTTGAAGCTTTTTCTCAATATGCCGACACAAGGGACCACTCTACTTACTGACTACTCGTCGCCTCCGAGCATGTAACGACATAAATTTCCTCTTAATCCCTTCCCACATGCTAACAGGACCCATATCCCTCTCATCCACGATAACTTTATTCCCGCTCTCAACCATGTTGTTTGTTAGCACATCCGACGAAATGTAACATAGAAAATAATGTGACCTGGTCCAATGATGGAATGACTTTTCGACCAACCAATCATATGAGGTCTTGTCGTACTCTGACATTGCTTGCATAGCAGCCTTGAATTTGGAGCTCTAGCTGCTTCCTAGAACAATTATTTAACCCTTTGTAATGCTCCACATGCACTCCTCAGGTTAGTGACAAGATGCCTCGCACAATGTCTCTTCTCGCTGAGGGGAAACACATCATCGAGGGCTGGCACGAGACCCTGCAGTTATGAAATTAACTTAATTGCAACTCAAGAAAGACAAATAAGTCTGAATTTACAGCAGCTAATTTTAGCAAACATGGTACCCTTTGTTTGTCCGACATGAAGGTCCATCCAGGATTATCCTGAATATGAAAATCATCTCGAAGTAGCTCAAGGAACCAGACCCAGTTGTCCTTGTTTTCCACTTCCACGTGAGCAAATGCAACTGCGAAATATTGGTTATTAGCATCCATACTTACAGCAGATAGCAGCTGCCCACCAAAATCATGCTTCAAGAAGCATCCATCAATGAACAGAACCTGCCTACATCCAGCCCTGAAACCTTGCTTTGATGCCTCAAAGCACACATACATGCGATGGAAAACTTGATCTCTTTGCTCAACTACAACAGTTGAGTTAGGATTGCTCTTCCTCAACTCTACAACATAGTGATATAAGCTTCGGTACTGCTCTCTCATAGTCCCATGCACAACTTCAATGGTCGTCTTCTTAATCCTCCAAGCTTTCATATCCCCAACTTCTTCCTTGTAATCTTCCTTCACGATTTGCTTCAACAACATTCTACTCATACTGTGGTCGGCTGCAACTTTCCTAGAAAGTTCCCCCCATAACTTGTATGTTGCATACCTGTTTGTGAATGTCAAGGTGCATTCTGCTGAGTGCTCCAACGTGCATCTGGTGATTCTCACGGCATCCTCATCCCTCACCTTGGATGCCCATATATACCAATGACATTTGATAAGTCGTTAATTGCACATGTTTTTACCCCTATTATGGAGCCGTTTGAGGTGTTGATTCTCGTGTTTTAGGCCGATTTCACGCTAGGTAGTGTTTGTTTGTGATATTTCAGGTCCTAGCAAGTGAATGAAGGTTTAGGAGCGAGTTCGGGGTCGATTGGACGAAGATCGGGCGCGAGGCAAGTCGAAAAGGAAGCCACACGGGCACACCCACAACTCACACGGCCGTGCAAGTGACCTATTTGGCCGTGTGGGATTGTGCGAGCCTTCACACGGCTTGCCCTGAAATCCACACGGCCATGTGAAGTTGCTGTTTGGCCGTGTGGAATTCTGCGAGGCTTCACACGGTCAGGCAGGGTGAGCCACACGGCCGTGCGACCCTGGCCGTGTAGGAAGCCTGAAGTGCAATTAATCGGAACGCGGCGTTTTGAAGTCACACGGGCAACTGGGTATGCCACACGGCCGTGTGGCCCTGCCGTGTGAGTCGGGAATTCCTGGTTTTAACCCGATTTCGGGCTGCAAGTGAGAGAATCGGACTTTTTGATAAAAAACAAAGCCCTAGAGAGAGAAAGGACGAAGAACACATTCTAGAAGCTATCTTGGAGCTGGGTATTATCAAATCAAGCTTGGAGATCGTCATAGGAGTGGAAATCATCATCTCAGAGCAGATTCTTCCCATTGTAATGAGTATGACTGCTTTGTATCTTGTTTTCCTCTCTCTCTCTATGGAGTAGAACCCTCTCTCACTTGGGGATGAAGAACCCTAGTTCTATGTGTTAGGGATTTGATTGTAATGACTTGGGATGATATTACTGTTTGATTTTAATCGAATGATGCATGTTTATTGAGTCAATTGAAGTCTGATCAATTTTTCCTGATTTCTGCTGCAATCTGAGATAGATAGAATCTGATTAGGTTGCTAGAGTCTCATCATTCGGTAGTAGGAGATTGGCTATACGAGAGTTAGCCAATTTACTGCTTTGTACTGGAATCCAATTCCAGTAGTGGAGTTCTGTTCTTATTGCTTCAGCTTTCTATCCCGGTGAAGACTAGTCGTCTGCCGGGTAGTTAGACTGAGAGGGCTTGGTCAGCTTAAGAGATTCCAAGATACTGTCGGATCTTCCGCAGTCTAATCAACAGTAAATCAACCCAAGGAAATACAATTGAAACCTAACTAAGGAGCTAGGGGGACTCATTCCCAAGTGACTCTTACCTGCTTGAGAAAACCGTACCAATTCCTGCTTTCTTTCTGCTTTTGCTTTTAAACAACAAACACTTAACTTAGTTGGCTAGATAATAGAGAATCACTGAGTAAGCGGTAGATCTAGACCCCGGGTTGATAATATAACTTGTCACTTTACTGCATTCCCGGACTGCGATTATACTTGGTCGCAGTTTGGTGTTGTGTTTTAGAGCATCAAGTTTTTGGCGCCGTTGCCGGGGATGCGATAAAGTGACAAGTTATATTATCAACCCGGGGTCTAGATCTACTGCTTACTCAATGATTCTCTATTATCTAGCCAACTAAGTTAAGTGTTTGTGATGACTCGATATTTGCACATGTTTTCCCCTTTGTTTCTTGATCGTTTAATCTTGCATTATCGCTTCTTTGGCCTATTTTATGCTAGGTTGTGTTCCTTTGTCACATTTCAGGCCCTAGCACATAAAGTGAAGCGTAGGTGCAAGTTTCAAGTCAATCGGAGATCATTTGGCAATTCGGGAGAAGAAACATGAGCATGACCTGAGGAATAATGGATTTCTACCTCATATAATGGACAAATTATCATGGAAGTTTTTTATGAAAAGAAAGAGGACGAGACTACGAGCGTCTGGGTTCAAACGGCGACTGATTTGGAGTCCGGACAAGGGAGAAACGAAGCTTTGAACAGGAGCGGAGGAAGAATTACGACCGTAATTTCCCCTCCCATGCCCGTATTTTCACTGCCGAGAGGAGCTTTGGGTGCGCTGAAACTTAACCAAAACGCGTGTTTTGGGCAAAATACGGGCATGGAAGAATTACGACCGTAATTCAGCCCGTAATTGGCCCAGAATCGGGTTTTTGAGGCAGATTCGAGCCAAAGGAAAGGGAGAGCTGGGTTTTGGATCCCAAACACCCAAGGGACGAACCCTAGAGAGAGAGAGAGCGACTTGGGAACATTCTTGGAGCTATTTTGGAGGATTTCTTCGCCATTGGAGCTCGGGAATCAAGCTTGGAGATGGAGATTGAAGATCTAGATCAGATTTCTGCAGTCTCCCTCTTCTCTATGGAGTAACTTCCCTTCACTTAGGTTTTGAGGAACCCTAGTTCCATGAGTTAGGATCTTTCTTGTATGAAGTTTTGGATGCTATATTGTTTGATTATAATCGAATGATGCATGTTTATTGAGTCAATTGAAGTCTGATCAACTTTTCCTGATTTCTGCTGCAACCTAAGATAGATAGAATCTGATTAGGTTGTTAGAGCCTCATCATTCGGTAGTAGGAGATTGGCTATACGAGAGTTAGCCAGTTTACTGCTTTGTACTGGAATCCAATTCCAGTAGTGGAGTTCTGTGCTTATTGCTTCAGCTTTTTATCCCGGTGAAGACTAGTCGTCTGCCGGATAGTTAGACTGAGAGGGCTTGGTCAGCTTAAGAGATTCCAAGCTACTGTTGGATCTTCCGCAGTTTAATCAACAGTAAAACAACCAAAAGGAATTACAACTTGGACCTAATTGAGGATCTAGGGGGAATCATACCTAAGTGAGTTCCCAAACTGTAATTAGTAGTTTTACTTCGTTTAGTTAGTAGAGTAGTTTAGTTAATCAATCCTTAATCTAGTTTGCTAGATAATGAACTGAAGCTGAGTAATAGTAACTCTAGAGACCCGTGGATTTGATATTTATTACTTTTGCCACTATACTGCAATCCCTTTCATTGGTTACACTTGGCCATTGTTAGGTGTTGTGTTTTAGCGTATCAGTTTGTTGTTTAAAAGCAAAAGCAGAAAGAAAGCAGGAATTGGTACGGTTTTCTCAAGCAGGTAAGAGTCACTTGGGAATGAGTCCCCCTAGCTCCTTAGTTAGGTTTCAATTGTATTTCCCTGGGTTGATTTACTGTTGATTAGACTGCGGAAGATCCGACAGTAGCTTGGAATCTCTTAAGCTGACCAAGCCCTCTCAGTCTAACTACCCGGCAGACGACTAGTCTTCACCGGGATAGAAAGCTGAAGCAATAAGAACAGAACTCCACTACTGGAATTGGATTCCAGTACAAAGCAGTAAACTGGCTAACTCTCGTATAGCCAATCTCCTACTACCGAATGATGAGACTCTAGCAACCTAATCAGATTCTATCTATCTCAGATTGCAGCAGAAATCAGGAAAAATTGATCAGACTTCAATTGACTCAATAAACATGCATCATTCGATTAAAATCAAACAGTAATATCATGCCAAGTCATTACAATCAAATCCCTAACACATAGAACTAGGGTTCTTCATCCCCAAGTGAGAGAGGGGTTCTACTCCATAGAAAGAGAGAGAGAGGAAAACAAGATACAAAGCAGTCATACTCATTACAATGGGAAGAATCTGCTGTGGGATGATGATTTCCACTCCTATGACGATCTCCAAGCTTGATTTGATGAAACCCAGCTCCAAGATAGCTTCTAGGATGTGTTCTTCGTCCTTTCTCTCTCTAGGGCTCTGTTTTTGCTCAAAAAGTCTGATTCTCTCACTTGCAGCCCGAAATTGGGTCAAAACCAGGAATTCCCTACTCACACGGGCAGGGCCACACGGCCGTGTGGCATACCTAGTTGCCCGTGTGACTTCAAAACGTCGGTTTCCGATTAATTGCACTTCAGGCTTCCTACACGGCCAGGGTCGCACGGCCGTGTGGCTCACCCTGCCTGGCCGTGTGAAGCCTCGCAGAATTCCACACGGCCAAACAGCAACTTCACACGGCCGTGTGGATTTCAGGGCAAGCCGTGTGAAGGCTCGCACAATCCCACACGGCCAAATAGGTCACTTGCACGGCCGTGTGAGTTGTGGGTGTGCCTGTGTGGCTTCCTTTTCGACTTGCCTCGCGCCCGATCTTTGTCCAATCGACCCCGAACTCGCTCCTAAACCTTCATTCACCTGCTAGGACCTGAAATATCACAAACAAACACAACCTAGCGTGAAATCAGCCTAAAACACGAGAATCAACACCTCAAACGACTCCAGAATAGGGGTAAAAACATGTGCAATTAACGGCTTATCAAACTCCCCCACACTTAACCGTTTGCTTGTCCCCAAGCAAACCAAGTCAGACACAAGGTGAGCTCACATATTTCAATCATACCAACATTGGGGACAAATCATATAGGCACAGAACACGTGAATCATACTGGTTTTCAAACATCAACACATGAACAACCTTAATAGCAACCTGGATAACCACCACAGAAGACATTCGAGTGCAGTAAAATCGAGTAAAGGAGGAGTCTCCCTTCTGTTCATCAACCAACCTAGACTTGACTCAACCACTTACTCAAGACACTCAACTCATGCATAAAACTCAAGACATCAGAATCAAGACCGAGCCGTCTAGGTCCTCACCGGGTAAAGAGTGTAAAGAACAAGGAAATGAATCGCTCACTCTCGACCAGTGGGGTCAGGACAATTTGATGCGAAAAATGCGCATACTAATTCTCTCAATTCCTAACATCTCTTCACCATGACGACAGCCTCTAAAGGTTAGAGTTCACATAAATGGTTTTCATCACTAACTAATCAGGAGGTCTTAGACACAGGTTCAAGTGACTGTCTAGGGTCTTGGACATGGGAAAAAGGCCTTTTAGGTGGTGGAAGTATTCATAGCACAAGGTTCCACAATTCCAAACCCAACAAACTCACAGTCAATCAAACCAGTACTTTCTTTCTGCTATTCTGCATTACTCAAATTCAAAGCACAAGAGCGAAGGAGGTCACATAAATACCAGTATTTCTAAGCCAGACTGCTAAGAAACACTACTTCATGGGCACTATTCATATTTTTGGTGGTGGCTCTCTTTTGCTTTCAGTTTTTCTTTATTTTTCTTTCATTTTTTTTCCATTTCTTAAGAGAACCACCACCTCTGTACATTTTCAAACACCTACCCAACTTTTAAGAACTACCTCCAACTCTCACATTACATTTAGCAGAAACAGCAAAGAACATGTAAAAATCACTCTGTGGAACCTTCTAAAAGATGCAAAAGGGTGACTTTTCATTGAAGACCGAAAGAAAGGATAACACACGGCTCAACGGGGCTGACTAGGGGGTATGACACACCAGGACAGTCAATTTGGTCGTGGGCTCATCCTATGCCTCTATCATCTTCGCTAATGACAACGTGAATGCTACACATCATGGAAGAGGGAACTATCACACAAGAAAGAAACGAGCAGGCTCAAATCTCACATGGCTACCTATATGCTCTATCTCTCATTCTGATTCCCTGAACTAGATGCATAAGAGACTGTCAAAAACAAGTAATCAATCCAAGTCACAGTTGGTAAGCAAACAGTTGAAAGACTGAACCCTACACAACTCTACTACACATCTCAGTTATCATAATAGGTTGTCCTAGTCACTATCCAGTTGTCATGCATCAATCCAAAAACCATTCAATTCACCAATCAAAACACAGTGCCAATATGATCAAACAGCCGTACTTGGAGCCCTCAAATCTCGAGATTTGGACAGTGGACTAGGCTCCAAGCACACGTATATACATTCCAACCGATACAAAACACCCCCCCCCCACACACACACACTTAAGCACGACATTGCCCTCAATGGAGCAAAGGGATAGAGAAGGGGAACGATATTACCGGATTGAAATGATGCGGGAGACTGGAAGTGGACCAGTCAGCGTGGGACATATGGAACGAACGGACAGTTCTGCACTAAGGGAACATCAAGAACACACTAGCAAATGTTCGTTAGGGATGAGAGTTGGCCCAGATGGCCACAAAAGAAACAAAACACACGACAAACTCAGTTCAAGCTCCTCAAACACATGGAGCAAACAGAAAAAAGTCTAAATAAAAAACACACACTAAGGGGGCGACAAGTACAGCCTACTCGTCGCCGAGGTTGTCCAGATCGATGTCATTCATGAATGCATCATCGTCATCAGCGGGTGGAGGTGGAAGTGGGGAGTCCTCCCAGGGAGTCCTCCAAACTGGCTGCTCGCCCGGTAGCAGCTGGAGCAGATGCCCCTGTACCTCCTGCATGCGCCTAGAACGGGCCTGCTCCCTCTCGATCCGAGCCAAGGTTACCCCCTGCTGGGTCTCCAGCCTACCGAGGCGCTCATCATACGCAGCCATCCTGTGCTGATACTCGGCATGGTGAGCCGAATGCTGCTGCTGAAACTGCATCTGACAGTCGTAGAGCTGCTGCGTCTCCAGAATCAACATTCTCCCTCGCACTTGACTTGCAGCCTCTTACTATCATTCCTTTTGAAGAAAATTGCTCGCTTAGTCACGAAAGAGTATTGCTTTAGTGCATCCCTCAACACATCAAATGAACCGAATTTCTGAGAAATAGCGAATGTGGGCATTTCCATATCTCGGTCCACCCGAAAATCTTGATCTCTTTCAGCTTCAGAGTCCTCTTCCTCCGAACTGTGGACAGACCGACGGTCATATGTGTAACATCCTCGTCTCTTCTATACATGCCATATGCCACCATTAATTAGTAATTCTTTAGTTCCTTATACTTGCCTCAATTTCCCCCTTAAAACAAAATGAGAAAGAAAGGGAGACAACACTGTTTCTTGTTCTCACGGATACCACTAAATAAATCCATTCTCAATCCCTTTCCATATCAAACACGTCAGACACAACCGGATGAAATCCCATAATACATATATTTAAAAAAAAATTCTCAAAATACACACGTTATAAAAAAAATTCCCAAAATACACATGTTTGTGCATCACCGCTGTTGTCAACCGCAGTGATTGCATTCACCGCGGCAGACCAAAGCGGTGAATGCATCATCGCGGTTGACGGCCGCGGTGAATGCCTGACGTAACACTGAAACTTCAAACAAACGTAACTTTTCAAGATCTTTCAATCATAAGAAAGACTTAATCTCAAAAAAATGTCGTTGATTACCCCGAACGAGCAATTTTTTGATTTTTCCAAACTTTGGAAGACCATAACTTTTAGCTCCTCAATCCGAACGTCGTAAAGTTTTTTTTTTAATTGCATATAAATTTTTAAGAACTACAACTTTTACTAGGAAAGAATTTAAAAAAAAAAAGAAATATTTTTGGGTATACGAGATTTTGGCAATAACTTTGCCTTTACTTTTCACAAATCCACATACTTTCCAAAATTATGGTTATAATAAAAGTTGTAGTACTTCAAAAGTTATGCGAAATCAAAAAAAGTTTCATGACATTCGGATTGTGGAGCACAAAGTTATGGTCTTCCAAAGTTTGTCAAAACCAAAAAATTGCTTGTTCGGGGTAGCAAACGAATTTTTTTTGGGATGAAGGCTTGTTGAAGATTGAAATATCTTGAAAGTTATGTGGAATCAAAAAAAAATTTGCTACAATCGGATAACCGAGCGCAAAGTTACGTTTGTTTGAAGTTTTAGTGTTACGTCAGACATTCACCGCGGCCGTCAACCGCGGTGATGCATTCACCGCTTTGGTCTGGCGCGGTAAATGCAATCACTGCGGTTGACAACAGCGGTGAGGCCCAAACATGTGTATTTTGGAAAAAAAAATTATAACTGTGTATTTTAGGATTTTTTCCGACACAACCGTGCCATTTTTTCTCATTTTCAAATTGACAGGTGTGATTTTAAAGGGCTTTTTTCCACCTAACAACACACGTGTAGTGTTGCTTGAGAAGGGGAGCTTTTGGAGGACAACATTTCATTTCAGTGAAATCTCATTGTACCATTTCTCCCTTGCACGTAGAACTAGCTAGTTCCCAACCCCACTCAAATAACCCCACGTGTAATACCTCATCCATAGCAGAGCAATTAAATAGTTGGGAGAGAGGGGAATGAATACCAAAAGCAACCTCCTTTTCTCTGCCATTTTCTTGAGAAAGAGAAAGTAGTGGTATGTAGGGCTGCAAATGAGCCAAGCCGCTTGCGAGCAACTCGGCGTTCGAATCGGAAAAAACTCGTTCGACACTCGACTCTTTATTTAACAAGCCGGCTCGCGAGCCAACTCGTTAGTTAACGAGCCAAGCCTGAGCTAGACCATGCTCAGCTTGATAAGCTCGCGAGCTAGCTTGATTCGGTGGCTTGTCGAGCTAAGCTAGCGAGCTGCCTTGTTTTGAGCTTGTGGAAGGATGAATTACTCTTTTAAACATGAACATTGTCTTATAATACAGATGTGTATGAAATTTAGATGTTATTTCTAGTTTCTAGTGTTCTTTCTATCATTTAAATTCTTATGTTTATACATTTTTCCAGCAAAAATGATTTTAAATCGAGCTCATCTTGAGCCGAGCTTGTACTCAGCTTAACAAGCTATGTTAATGAGCATTTATCGAGCTCTACCGAGTCGAGCTCGAGCTAGATTATTTTTATTCAAGCCGAGCTCGAGCTCGAGCTGGATTATCAAAATTCGAGTTCGAGCCGAGCTCGAGCTGAAAAATTAATAAACGAGCCGAGCTCAAGCTAAGCAAAAACTCGACTCGACTCGGCTCATTTGCAGCCCTAGTGGTATGTAGATAATCTCCATCACCACTGCTCCATTTTCATAATCGCTTGAGGTCTCCTAAGAAGAAGGGAAGTAGGCGAGTAGGATTAACAAAGTAGTCATCTACCATAGAAGGTATCTCTCTATCCTCTTTCGATTATTTCTATTCATTTGAGTGGGTAAAACGTAGTTACCTTCTTGATCGATCAAAGCGGGAGTTGGGATGGTATCACACTTTTCATTCATTGTAGCATGCATAACTATTAAGTGATTATGACCTTAATTGGTGGAAATAAACCCTTGATTTTCATGGGTGAGTCTGCCTTTCTACAATTGAACCGACATATATTAGAATTGGGTATAAATATTATGAGCTAATGTCTCTATAAACTTAGAAACTTTGATATGCATGCAGGTGTAAGGTAATTATATAATTAGGGGTTTAAGTTTAACATGGGACGTTGGATGGAGTGCTAAAATAAGAAATAATATTAATATTTAATATGGATATGTGTAAGAATAATGGATGAATAGAGGGAAGGGAATGTGGTAAACGTGGCTTGCATGCAACTAAGTGAACTAAGTGAATTACTAGAAAGTTATATCATTCTAGTTGGGTTCCATGTTTTAACTAACAGTGTCATGGTTATTATTAGCTGATTTATAAGCCCTCATAGTTTCTGAAACTATTTTGTATAAACTTTTAAAAAGGGAAGCAACAAGAAGAAACATCGATGAAATGAAAGGGTATAGCTAAATATCAAGCATATGGTGAGTAAATCTTAACCTAATGTTTATATTAATACGAATATAGTATTCGGGTCATGAAGTGACTAGAGTACCTGGTAAGTTAGTATTGTTTGATCCGTGTGATATCATAGTGTTGCTCAAATGGGTGATGACATGAATGGGTGCATAATTACTTGAGTGATTATATTGATATGTGACATAGTGTTGTATATGTATTGTGTGATGGTTTTCAGTATCATATATGAGTTATGCCTATGTGATATAAAATTGGATATCGGGTACATGAAACAAGAAATGACCTTTGAGGGGTTAAAGTAAAATGATATGCAAGATACCTTGACTAGCACAAAAGTGTATGATTAGAATATGGAAATGGCCTATAAGGCTTATGAATGAGACAGTGCATGAGATGATTAAAAGTATATTATATGTATATAAAATGGAAATGAATTGGCCTTAATGGCATATATGGAAATGTTATTGCATGGTCACCTAAACCAAACATAATGCTTGCCTTGTTATACACTCAACACAAGATATGGGAAAAAGGAGAACATGGTATGATGACACCGGACGGTGATTCGTTCCGGTATGTGATATGATGAGACTGGGCTGGGTACGTCCCGCAGTGGTATAATGGTACCGGACTGAGATACGTTCCGCCGTGATAGGTTTTATTTGAACCAGTGGTAATCCATATTCCTATATCTTGGAAGAGTGTATGATTTGACAAGCTAATGAAGTAAAAGCCACTGAATCAACCTAACCGTGATGTGATTGAATCCTTGTATAAGGATTTCCCATGATGAGATTATGTAATGACTTCTGATGATCTGATATACAAAATGTGCATGGGGATGATATAGTTATGTGATGATTTTTTATGCGTTTACTACATTGATATGATATTGGAGTGCATGATGAAATGAATAGATGTGTGTGTTATCAAAATCTCTTGTGCCGTGATAATCTGTGATGTGGTATATGACATGTGTTGTGAGACCATGCTTGAAAATGACTATGTATCGTCGGTTGTTACAGTATGGTAAGTGATATGAATGTGTCATGGATGATAGGAGAGTACTTCGGGGGAACAACATCACTCGTTACTATTTTGGTATTGATGTTTGTATTAGGTTATTATTTACTCATTGAGTGACGTCTCACCCCATCAATATTTTTTTCCCAGATTCAAAGGGATCGTGAAAGAAGAAAATGAATCGGTTGTCGTGAGGTGGATGGTGGAACTGAACTCTCCACATGTTTTTATTCGGTATACTAGAGGAAAGCTCTCCCCTTGAGTCTATTCTAAATAGATGTTATAAACATGAAATGGTTGTTAGTGACGTGACAATGGTGTAAGGGTGTTACAATCTGTGTACTCCACAGAATCAGATTCCTCTTCCTCTAAATCAGCTGCATCAATGTTGGAACCACCCTCAAACATGCACATATTAGCTTCCATATCAGTATTTACATTCTTCAGAAAAGTTGCAGCATCATACTCAAAGTCATTATCTTCTTCTTCTACATAGTCACTGTCATCGTCCTCACCTTCTATTACATCATGTTGCTTATATCCAGATTCATCATCCTCGGCATTACTCTCCAAAACATCTTCAACTTCCTAATTAGCCATAGCATACAGCTCGATAATCTTAGGAGGTTATTAGTTGTTGATGCCATCTCCATCAAGTCTTCATCTTTAGTAATCTCGATCATTGTTTCTTCTAATGGAGCTTTCCAAAAAAATTTGGATTTGTCTGCTTCCCACCACACTCTTTGTAGATATCCGGCAAGTCGAGGACAGACAACTTATCAACATCAGCATAATCATAGTAAACAAGTGAGTTATCCTTTATAAATTTCTTCCCATCCTTCTTTTCGATTTCATAGTCCAAGTGTACTTCAAAGCTAAATTCATCACTATATGTACCTATTTGAATAAAAAGAATCCAAAAAAATGTATTAGAAAAGGATACATGTTAGCTACTGTATATATCATGCATATAGCAACCAACAGTAGTACATACTAGTAATAAAGAGACTACACCAACCTCATCAGCTACACCGAAAATGCAATGAAGACAAAATGAATGCTTATTCTATTCAAAAGCCATCCATCATGTTGATTTCAACCTAATAAACAATTATGCAACTGACGTTACCCCATAAAGACAAGAACCTCACCATATTTTGGGGATAGGAGCATTCAGTTGCCGCACATGTCCCACCATATTGCTTCACAAACGGGACCAGCAACCTGGAAAATGACAAGCTATAATGAAAATCGAATAAAGAGATCGCGACTTGTCCCCTTTTCCCTATCCCCTTTCGTCCATATTGAATCCCTTTCCCAATGCAAAAGGAAGACGAAAAAATGACATTACCACCTTTGGTTTTCTGCTTTCTTGCTGCCAGAACACCATAGATGCAAGTTGGAGTAGCAAATCGGGAGGTTGTTCTTCAGGTCGCGATTTCTAGGGTTTATGTCCTTCTCATCACAATGCAAGAACGAGTAGTATAAGAAGGAAGGAAGGAAGGAAGGAAGGAAGGAAGGAAGGAAGACGATGGAAGATTGGTTTTTTTTTTTTGCTCCTCGCCTGTACCTCCCCTGTACGCTCTGCTGCCGGCCGACTTTCCTTGCACGCTCTGCTGGAGTGAAGAAAGGGAGGAAAAAGAAATGCACAACAAGAGGAAAGAAGAAGGGGAATCAGCTTCTTCAAAGTAAAAATAAAATAAAATAAAAATTAAAGCAAAGTAAAAAAATAATGGGCTCCGTCCTTTTTCGGGTCGGGTGCTTTGCTGGCTCGGGTATTCAGGCGGTCTCAACCTTTCTGTCGGCCCAGTCAGAGTTTCTGTTTGCCACATCATCAAAAATCTGACGCCGTTAATGGAGTCTGACGGAGGCTGACGTCCAGTGGCTACGGTGAAATGTTTCGTAAAGTGAGTGACCAATAAGCAAGGTTGGAATTCTGATGGCAAATGTGAAATATTTATGTAATTTGGATGACCAATCGTGTAATTCACCCTTTTCCACATAAATTACATACCCATTGGGTCGACCTTCCCCGATCCGTTCTCCATGAAAAATTACCTTATATGAACCCGACCTGCCACGGAGCAAGTATGGGTATCGTGATACCCACCTAAACCTGCCCCATTGTTATTCCTAGCTGGGCTGTTTTTCGTCAATTGGCTTTTGTGTTTGGTGATCACGTTTGTAATGACCATTGTATGTTAGTACTTTGAACTTCGTCTTTCCTTTCTCATTAATGCATTTCACTTTATATAAAAAGAAGTTACATGACTTGCAAAGCAAAATATTCAAATTAAAGAACCAAATTGACTATTTGATTAAAATAAAGTAGAAAAGAGCAAATGAAATTTAATTTTTTTTATTTGAATAAGGATCTAAACCGCTTCACTTTCTTTTACAAACATCATGCACACCACTAGACTATCTGGCGATTTATGTAGTGATGGCCATTTCAACCCGTCTCGAGGGTATTACCTAACTTGACCCGCGATGAGACGGCTATTACCCGACCCGCAGTAGCGTGGGGCGGGGTATGGATATCTACTTCCGACTCGCCATCCCGTCCCGTTCTAGATCCATTTTATCTCTATTTCTTACAATATCCATATATATTTCTCCGATTTTGACTTTTCTTCAACTAGTTAGAGTCGATCTTTCAACTTGTCAGACTCAATCACCCATTCTATTATCACTATTTTTCATTTGTAAAGTGTTTTTTCTTTCGTTTTATCGTAAAAGGTTAAATTTGCATGTATTTTTTTCAGATAACATGTAGAGGGTCGACCCGTCCCGCCCCGTACCTGCGCAAGTTTTATCCACCCCGCCCCGTAATAGCATGGGGCGGGACGTGGGAATTGACGTACCCGCCCTGCCCCGACCCATTGCCATCACTACATTTATGTGCACTTGTTTCATTCATGCGGTGTATATTTTATATATATATATATATGGTATATATATATAGTTGGACTAGCGTACGCATACCTTATCGTACGTAGGTCTCCAAAATCTATATGATTTATACGTAGGGGTGTAAGCTTGAACCGAATTCCGACTCATCCCGTCCCTGAGGGTCGAGACAGGTCAGTTTGTCTACAGGGTCAGATTAGGGACGAGTCACTTGTTGACCCAGTAAGGGTAGGGACGGGTTGGGACAACATAGGGACGAATCACTTATTGACCCTATGACCCTTAGCAACAACAAATATCTCATACCACATTGGACCTCTTTATAAAGTGTTAAGAGTATAGGGGGTACTAAATTGTAAAAATTAAAAAATTGGGTAACAAAATGTAATTTTATCAAAAAAATTATGAACTTAATTGTAAAAAAATTAAATTTTAGGTACTAAAGTGTAAGAAAAAATAATTCTGGGCAACACAAGACCATTCAACCAACCCTCCCGTCAACACAAAGAGGCTCTCGTGGCCCTCTCGGTTTTAATGGCATAAGTTCTCTTCACTTCTGGGGTGTATAAGTGCTGAATGCATTCAGAAAATGGGGAGGGAAGGCGACTTTGTGAATAGGCTAACAACCTATCCATATCCCAGGGGCTACGTCAAGCTTCAAATCCTATTCGTCAATTTATCCCATCATGCTCACCAATCTATCAGACCATTCCATCATTCCCTGAGCAATTCTGGATTTGGGGAGCAAGGTAAGAACAAAACCAGACAAGGAAATCAGCGAAAGGATAAAAGAAAGGTGAACCCTTTTGATTTCTAGTACTGAAGACATGCTTCAACGACACCAAGTTAACAAACAGTTTAATTCACCTACAACACGGAGAGACGGTAACAAGAACCAACTCCCGGCCTCATACGGCTAAAGGCTTAATTAACGATTGAGTAAAAGGAGTTGTCAAACTAAACCGGTTGATAACTTGCACGCTCATACAGTGCATTACTTTCCGAGTAAGAACTGCACAATTTCTGCAGTTGGAAAGTGAATCCATGGAGTTATCAAACATATAGAATGCATGACATAAATCTGGGGTTATATTTACTGTCCTACTCATCCTAGTATACTTGGGTTATACGGCAAAAGTATGCACATTCAAACCCTAACCAAATGGGATCAAGAATGGTCAGTGCAGCAAATGAGGAACACAAGATATGAGAATCACAAACCATGACATAGAACTAAGGCACAATACAGGATAAGAAATCAAACCTCCCGCATCCTCATGCAAACATAGTCATGAATAAGGAAAAAAACATCACATATGAAGAAGAAGAAAAAACAAAGCATATAGTTTTCTAAAACGAAGGGCGCAAGGAAAGGACTATTCTGGACAAGCCTGTTCCGGTGGCAAGCAAGCCAACATCACATAAACAAGGAATACTCATATGTTTTAAAACATCCTCACAGGAATAGGTATGAAACACACAACAAAGGGAGTAAGAAGAACTCTTCTGGACGAGCCTGCTCTTGTGGGTATAGACTAGAGTACTCAAGCTTTCACTGATTGGGAGTGTCAGGGCTGAATGCTACAGGAATTGAAAAGTATCATCAGCTAACAGAAGATAAACAAATGGTAGTAAACATTATATATCCAGCAGTAGACTATTCATCATGCCAAGTAATTAAATTACCTTAAGGCTCAGTTGATTGACGTTCACGCACAATCATTATTGCAGATAGTCGAACCTGTTCCCTGAGGGAATCCAGCTTCTCTCTCTCTGCCTTAATTTCATCAGCATAGCGTTGGACTTCCTCAGTGTTGGGGGGTTTTCCATGATCATTTAAGAAGGCATTCTTCTCTTCAGCTTTGGCCTTATTGACCTCTAATTTTGTAATATTCTGCTTCGCAAAGCAATATTCCTGGGCATAGTTTTCCATGCTCGATGCAGTATCATCCATTTCTGAAACAGCATACAATTACCAAGAGTCATCAATACAGTGAAGTGGTTAATGCTTCCTATCAGGGACAAAAATGCCAAAAAAACTTGAGGAGTCAGTTGGATGGTGGATTGAAGGTGATGACTTAGGATTCCCTTTGCAAGGGTCCACAAAAGAATCATTTGCCTCAAACCAGACTAGAGCTGTTGCAAGTAGCACAGAAACGATCAAGGCAGGGAATCTCTCTCTCTCTCTCTCTCTCTCTCTCTCTCTCTCTCTCACCAAGAGCATAGCTAACTGTACATCAAATAGGAACGAGGAACATATGGCAACAACATCAAGCACGTCTTAACAGCTATTACTATTCACTAACCTAACAAATCAGATCTAACAGTCGATGAGAAGCGCTACATAGTAGAATCTAATCTATGGGAAGTCGAGATCTCATAGTAATTCATCAAAACACTTTAAACCGATAAGCTCATCATTCAAAACATCCTTCAACAGAGCAAGCTAAGAAGACGAAAAATTAAACAGCTGCTTCTCAAAATTTATCAGAAAAATAAACTTGCAAAACAACGATATCTGCTACCTCCCAAGTTAACACACACAGAGATGGACTTACAAATGAAACCAAATTAGCGGAGAGTAATCGATCAGAATTGAGACAAACGACAAACTTGCCTGAGAAATTGAAGGATGGCGGGAGATGCGATTCAAGAGAAGTACAGAACGAGATCAGGATTTGCAGCGTCCACTGGAGAACCCTAATCGCGGCTTCCAGCAGAGAGCGATGATGAGCTATTTAGGCAGCTACTTCACAGCTTCCTTCCTTTATGCGGATTGTTCCAGGACAAGGACTGAAACAAATATATTACGGATCTCTTTTTCAGCCCAAAGCCCAGTCAAGCAAGGCCTATCCCAGAAACTGCACCCATAAAAGCTTTCTTTTTTTTTTTTTTATAAAAAGCCTGGTAAATATTATTAATAAAAGCTTCTGGCCCCATGGCCTACATCATCCTCAATTAGGCATCTAAGATACATAGGTGGGTTGATGATAAAGAAAGGATTTTCTTTTCTTTGTTATAATCAGTCATCACGTGTTAATAAATCATCAAATAACTAGTTACAGACCGGGCGGGTTGGCAGGTTTCATTTGTCAATCGTGTAAATAATTATAGCAAGTTGTATGTGAGATTAGCATTTCTTTAGTAGTATGTTAAAAATAAAGCTTTATGAAAGTATGTAACATTTTAATTTCTTGGTAGCATAAAAGAATTCTAATTATTATACTACTTCAACTATTCAAAAGTTGACATCATATTGTTTTTCAACATTCTAACCGAATTACCGAGTATAATTGTTTTACAAAAAATGAAAGACAACCATTCAAAAGATAACATCAAATTGTCACCGAGTACAATTGTTTTTCGAAAATGAAAGACAAATCCTATGTCAAGGATCCGACTCATAAATGTTATTTGAAAAATCCTTCTTGTTCTCCCCATCGTCATATATTACTGTACGTTTTTTTTTGCTTGTTTGCATTTCCTACGTCATGAGCAACATCATCATCTCCACCAGTAGTAAGGTCTTCATCTCCATTAGTGACATATTGGTCTCCAATATCACCCGACGACTGCTCCTTCTCTTGCATTTGAATAATCTCTTCATTGTTTTCCTGCATTTTATTGAGCACAAAATTTTGATGTTAAAAAATATTTGCAAATACAAATAAATGTTTTGATGGTCTTAGAATTTACCTTGTCCATTTTATGAACAATATGTACGATTTGTTCATCCTTGAATTTTAATTTGATTTAACTCATTCATTGTTTTGGTTGAACTTAGTTGTTGAGTTGCTTTCGTGCTTTTCACTAGCGGATTTGGTCCATCGCCGTCATCAGCGGCGGATCCAGAACATAGATTAGCACTGGGCCGCATTTCATTATAAAATTAGAACCGTAAAAAAAATATAATGATTATAGTTTTTTGCGGTGTAAATTGTACACAACTGTATTTTAATTTAGGGAATGCATCAATAATGAAGTCTACATCCATACTAATAGTATACACTGTTTCAAATAAAATACTTGAGCAATCGGCGAGAAATTCATCGCTTATTTTGTTGAGCAAATCAGTTCTCGCATGTTCCATTGTTAAAAAGGTTCTCTTCGTAGTAGCTGTTGAAATGAGCAGCATCAACACTAGATAAATCAATCGACTAATCAATTTACATTATGTGTCCATCCCTGCACACCAGCTGCTTTAGTAAATTTGTAAGGGAACATACCTCATATTTCTTTTAGTCTTTTACGTTTTTAACTTTTTAGAATTTTAGGTTTCATTGTTTTTTTAAGACGCATAATGTTTGGGGCTAAAATTTCTAGGCTAAATTTAGAATAGTGATTTGAATATGTTCAACTTGATAATTTTTCTAGTTAAACCCAATCTTATCATAGAATAACACTGGATTGAATGTCTAAAATCAAAAATTTCATAAGGACTATAGTAACTACGGATCCAGAGGAGGGCTGGGCCGGGGCCTGGGGTGGCCACCCCCTGGATCCGCCAGTGGCCGTCATTGTTTTCACCCAAATAGAAAGATAATTATTCCATTTTTATTTTGTCCAACTTCAAACTTGGCATGCAAGCAAATTGGTGAGTAAATGTTTAGAAACTTCACCTTGGCCCAAAATTAATGTCTTTTGGAATTTTTGAATTCGCCAGCAGCATAGTCGCTCCTGAATAGATGAAATTATTCTTTCCTGAAAATTTTGCGATCTCTTAATTAAATGTCGATAGTTTTGTGTCAGCGTCTGATGAGCAATAACAATAAGGTAATGTATATGTTGCCTTACCATTATAAGGAACGATACATAAGGATGTAATGACACGGATGAGGGAGCGTTACCTGCATTTGAGAGATGGCATTTATTTGGGCGATTATCTTACCAAAAAGAGTTGCCTTCACAACCAATCCCTTGTAGCCAAATTGTATATAAGATTTGTTGAGTCACATCTGAAGTAAGAATCCAAAAGAACTTGGTAGTATTGTTGTCCCAGCTTTGTTTGAATGTTTTTAATCCAATCCAAACGCTCGGCATCAACCAATGCATATGCATTAACAATACATTGTTGGAACAACTTTCCACACAATAGCAATGCATTGGATTCTTCCAGTCTAGTTTGGAATCTATAGCTGTAAAAATCACATTGGGACACATTATTCTCATTGTATTCATTTGCATCCTCACCTTCATAGTATGGAATATTTGGGTTCCATCCTCTCTATGTGGGAATAATATGGGGTATTGCAAAGCCATTAAACTTGGGTGATATATACTAATTTGTTCCAGTTCGTGACTTTGATACTGAACAACAATACCAGGAGGAAATGTATACTCCCCAGTATCATCAACAATTAAAGCAGCGACCTCATTTGTTGATGACAATTCATATTCTCTACCATCCCCTCCTCTTTTAGAAAGTAGCTTTATTTCGTTGTTCAACAGTGTTGCCATTTAGTCTATCCCTTGCAAATCGAAATGTCTTTACTAAGATATAACTTGAATCTAACATCTCCTATAATTGTTGAATAATTGAACCGCGCAAAGGATTCAAATCTGGATCTGTAGAGAAGAAATCTAACTTGTTTTGGATTTTATTTCCAGTGTCATAGATGTAGAATTGAGCAAACTTTGGTATGCTCCTTTCATTAGGTATCAGGTTGTCGATTCGATGATATACTTGACCTCCAATCGAATAGACATATACTCTGTGTCCATCATTTATAGATCGATCCAGTTTACCTCCAATAGAAGTCAATGCAAAGACCCTATTATATCCTTGTATATGTTCCAATAAGTGACGTCCATTTGAAGTATTTACTTGCAATAGCATGTTAAAAACCTTTGGAGATTGTCTTCGGAGAAGGAGCTTCGCTTTACCTTGTCTGCAACACAATGAAAACTTTTGTTGATTTGAATTCCTCGTGGGTTTGGTACTTTCTCCCTTCAACATAAGCTCTCCACAATATTTGCATTTTTATGATGGTTTCCCAATATCAAACACTTCAACCACTACAATAAAATGAAAACGCCAACATAAGAAATAAATTTGGTAAAAAACTCTAACATTATAACAAATGAAGGAAAATGAAACACCAAAAAATATTAATAAACCTCGAAAGTCTCCAGAATGCATCACAAGAAGACGATTATAACAATTTTTGGCAAGTTTGATGGACCTCAAAAATCTATTCCTCTTAGTTTGTAAGTTATTCATCTCAGTTTGCAATCCTATATAGGAATTAGTAAAATAAACAATCCTATCAGCTAACACAAAATTAGATAACTTATAAATAGAAAACAAACATGAAATAGATGGATTACCAGTAGGAATGTTGACAATTTTTCCATGTATACGCTTTTGTCTTATACAAAGATCAACATTGTGGAGCGATTATAATCAATTTAGAATTAATCAATATTCATACATCAGAAAACTTTTTTTGCACGTCAGATAGACATTGATTAGAATCGGCCAATCATTCTGGTGGTATAAAAACAACTCTCTTTTTTTCTGAATAACACGTGTCATGGACACACATTAAATTGCATGATGAATATAATTAGGGATAATACCACTAGGAAACCCGAACTATTAAGAATGTGTCATTTGTGTCCTAAAGTAACCAATATGACATTTGTGTCCTAAACTATTTTTCCGTTAGAGTTTATCGGCGTTGGCCGTTAGTATTTAACAAATGGCACATTCTTAATAGTTCGGGTTAGGACATAAATGACACAAAACTATAATAAGTTGGGACACAATTGTCATATTAGATACTTTAGGACACAAATGACACATTCTTAATAGTTCGGGTTTCCTAGTGGTATTAGCCCATATAATTATACTAATAAAAATATTTGTGCTTACATTCACTTTTTAACGGTCGAAGTGATACATTATTTGGTTGTATGGATGACTCTCCACGTTGACAATATTCATGTTTAGATAACTTATGCTACTAGTTTTGACCGATCTCCTTCATGCACCGTACCAAAGCCAAAAGAGAAGGAACAAACGTACGTGTGTAAGAAGCCTTCAAAAAATTATGTTAATAATGGGATGCATTACCTAGCTAGTAAAATATGATGATTTGTGATATTCTAATGCATTCTTGGACTAAAATCATTTATGAAAAAAATGAAAGACAAACCCTATACTAGGAAACCAAGTTCTAAAACATTTTAGAACCACCCTTATATTTACTCTTCATCGTCAGAGATGACTCCACATTTTCTTTTAATCTTGTTGCATTTCCTCCACCATGAGCATCATCATCATCTCCGCCAATAATAATGTCGTCATCTCTATTACCAATTTTCTATTCATTCTTCTCTTGCATTTCAATAATATCTTCCTTGTTTTTCTACATTTCATTAATGAGCATTGGGATTAATGGTACAACATTTGCAAAATCATTTTTTTTTCATCGAAGTATAATTTACCTTGTTCGAGTTATGAACAATATCCACAATTTGTTCTTTCTCTCTATAGTCGGTACTTGTATCTTCCTTCTTCTCAACATTATCATAATATCAAGCATCGGTACCTCCACAATTAGCAGTGTCATTCTTATTCTCTTGCATTGGCATTATATGGATTTAGAGTATTGACATTCAAAAGCACAACATATGGTGGGGGTTTTATATTTATTGGAATAAAAATGGTAGGGGGATACAAATGCTTCCATGTTAATGCAATGATAAGCAAAGTCTCACTTGAATTTTAAGTTATATACAACAACATTTGTGTATATATTAAAGAATACTAACTAAGTGTCATTTATTCATGGTTTAAAATTTTAAGACACGCATTTGTGCATCGTATAAAAATTGCAGACGTATAAAGTTGATAATACAACCAAGTATAGAATTGCATGCATGTTAGCGGAAAATAAAGGAAAGTTGCACGGGAGTTTATGTTATACTATTAAATGAATTTATCTAGAGATTAATTTACCACTAAGTATCATTTGTGCATGGTATAAGAATGACAGGTTTAAAAATTGAGGACATATACAGTTCATAATACGACTAAGTCTAATTTATGCGTGATATACAATTCGAAAGCAGCTTAATTAGTGGATGGTATATGCAATTAATTGCATTACAAACTAACATGTGAGAACTTGAATGGTAGGGAGGTTAATTAAATAGCAATTAGAGGGTGCATGTTCCTGATATACTTCAAATTCAATAGAAAATAGCACAATATTGTAATTAATATCAATTATTGTTTTCACGCAAGCATAATCCTCATCCTTCCCTATCATGAAAAGTGTGGACTCACTTGAATCAACTCGCTTCCTTGTTCAATATGACATCATAATTTTGAGTCGCAATCAATTGGAATGTGGAACAGAGAATGAGCAGTTCTACGTCCAACTATTAGCAAAGTTGTAATAACAATGGAAGCCATACACAACACTTTTTTTTCTCATAGTTTCAAACAAATAACCTTCAGAAGAAATGTACTATACCTCCAAATCCATCAACAATGAAGCAGTTCTCATTTTCTTCCTCCACAGATTGAACAATTTCATCGAATGCCTTCCTTTGCTCTAAATTCAATTTCAGATACAATGTATTTAATTTTTTCATTAATCTTCTGGATTATAATTTATCTACTTAGCGATATACAAAAATTCGACTTTGATATGTGTTTAAAATTGAAACTATAGCTATCTATCTGTTATACGGAACAACAAATCGATTATCTAATGAGACTCCATTCACCATGAACCATATGGTGTGCTCTCGACGCCGATACCTTGCAAAACAGCCATCAATAGTTATTTGGAGCATAATTCATTTGGAAAATATATAAAACATGCACCATTAGTTGTAAATGGAGCTTTATGTTCATGAATGCCACGTGGACAATGAAACATAAAGTTAACCACTTCATAACATTCAGGATCTACTTTAGGATTAGAGATTTCAACAGATTTAATTAAATCTATTTATAAAGGATCATATAATTTATCTTCGACTAAGAAAACTAATAAATGAGCATAAGTTGGAGCATGTTTTTTAAATTCAACTGCCATTACATATGCAATTAATGAATTTATCAACAATAATTAAATTGAAAAATAATAATTACTAAACAAATCATGAATTAAGGATGCTTAAAGTAAAACTATGGAATATAACTTATATGTGCATGTTTTTCCAAAAAAAGTTATTCTCCAAAATATGATTCAGCAATTGATATAGCTTCAACTTGAAAACTCTTGCGAGGGCATCATCATTATTAGGATCTTTCCTAATAGTAGTCCTTATTAAATCAAGCATGTATTGGATCTCATGCCAATATTGATTACATGTAACTCTAATGAAAAGATCTTGAAATCCTGCTCGTCTACAAATTGTCATAACATTCTAGAAGTTTTCAGACTCTATATCGAGCACTACACGTATGTTTTTTTTTACAATAGGACTACATGTATGTGATGAACCTAAACTCACATTTTCCCACTCAAACTGGTATATGAATCACCTCTCAAGTAAAAATCCAAAAGACCTTGGTAGTAATGTTGTCGCAACTTTATTTAATTGTTTTTAATCAAATACAAATGTTCAGCCTCAACCAATGCATATGCATTAACAACATAATAACAATGTGTTTGATTCCGTCATTCTTGGTTGAAGTCTATACTATATAAAGCACATTGGGTCGCATTCTTCTCATTGTATCCATATGCATCGTCACGGCCAGAATATGAAATATTTGGATGCCAATCATCATCACCATGTGGAAATCATGTGAGATATTGCAAAGCCATTAAACATGGATGATATGTATTAATTTGTTCCAGTTCATGACTTTGATATAGTACAACAATATCAGAAGAAAATGGTTGCTCCCTACTATCATTAAAAACTAAAGCAACGACCTCATTTGCACATGACAAATCATATTCTCTACCATCTCCTTCTCTTTTAGGAAGTAGATCAATTTGAACTTGTTGAACAATGGTGTCATTCAATCTATCCCTCCCGTTCGAAATGTCTTTACTAAGTTATTACTTGAATCTAACATCTCGTGCAATTGTTGAATAGTTCAAAGGATTTCAAGTTGGATAAGGGGAGATAAAATATAACGGCTTTTGGAGTTCATTTTCGGTGTTATAGATGTAGAGTTGAGCAAATATTGGGATGTTCCCTTCAATAGGTATCATGTTATCTATTCGATGATATATTTGACCTCCAATAAACATATACTCTGCGTCCATCATTTATAGATTTGTCTAATGTGCCTCCAATAGAAGTTAAGCGAAGCCCTCATTCCAGCCCCAGATGTGTTCCAAAAAGTGATGTCCTGTTGAAGTGTTCGCTTGCAATAACATATGAAAAATCCCTTGAGGCTAATGTAGAGTTGAGCAAACTTTGGTATGTTCCCTTCAATAGGTATCATGTTATCTATTCGATGATATACTTGACCTCCAATCGAATAAACATATACTCTCATCCATCATTTATAGATTTGTCTAATTTTCCTTCAATAGAAGTCAAGCGAAGACCTCATTCCAACCCCAGATGCGTTGCAAAAAGTAATGTCATGTTGAAGTGTTCGCTTGCAATGGCATATGCAAAATCCCTCAAGGCTACCTTCGAGGAGGGAGAAACATAGTGAAAATTTTCGTGATTGAAATTCCTGGTGGGTTTGGTACTTTCACTCTTCCACATCATCGGTCAAGAGTATTCACATTTATATGATGAATTTCTAATATAAAAAACTTTAAATATTGTAAATATTAATAAAGCTATAAAGTCTCTAGAACGCATCACCTGAAGACGATTATAACGACTTTTAGCAAGTTTGATGGACCTTAACAATTTATTTCTCTAGTTGGTAAGTTATTCAATTTCATTTTGAAACCATGTAAATGAATTAGTAAAATAAGCGATCTTAGTAGACAATACAAAACTTGATAACATATAAATAATAATAAAATTGTGAAATTAGTGGACTGACAGTAGGAATGTTCACACTTTTTCATATATACACTTTTGCCTTATATAAAGATAATGTTTTCTTCTTGCTAATTTGGTGAATGGTTTATCAGTTCTCTTAAACCCTGACTTATGTGCATTCATTTATGAAAATGTAAAATTCTTTAAAAAAATATTTTTATGAAAATGTAAAATGGAGAATAATAGTTGTGTAGGTCAAAGTTGAGCGAAATAGTTAGAAAGGTTATAAACAATTGATAGTTCATCGATATACATATCATCATAAAACTTATTTGGCGCGCTTTTGGTGGCATAAGAATGACTCTCTTTTTTCTCTAATTCACACGCGCATGGACACATATTTAATTGTAAGATGTCTAGCATCATGAAAATAAAAATATATGCATTTACATTTGATTTTTTATGATCATATTGGAACACTATTTGGTTGTCTGGATGACTCTCCATATGATCTTCGAGGCATCAAACTGAAAAGATAAAAAGCTAACAATTGTAAAAGAATAATATGTACCTTTGATTAACCAACAAATCTTAGTGGTCAAAATGTAATGAACTACCCATCCTATTTAAATTTTAATGTCATTATAAAGAATAAAATATAAATCAATTTTTTAACCTTAGCTATTATCTCTTTATATAGTACCGAGGCAATTGCAAGAGAAATTAATCAAACAAATGATGGCAATGAAACTTAGAAGTCGTTGGAAAGTTGCAGATTGTTTTTGTGAGATTGTTACTATACTTGTATTGTTTAGAATACATTTTTTTTTTGCATAAACAATACATGTATTATTTTGTGATGTAACAAAAACTATTACTCCGAATTAGTGATTGTTAAACTTTTTATTTATTATAAAGGCAAGGGATGATATTATAATATTATACAACTAAATGCCTTATTTTACAATGTATAATACTATGCATATAATCATTATAATTATGCAAGTCCCAAATGACCTTGATATGCATCAAATAATATAATTACACTACTTTTCCTCCCAAACGACCTTAATATGCATCAAATCATACTAGCGCAGAGTCCGGCCCGTTGGTCGGAAAGTTGTTATTGACATGCTTTCTTTTTCTCTTTTTAGTTTTGTGTTTTTTATGGCGCCTAAAGTCAATGAGATGGAACAACAGTGATGATATATAATTTGCTAAACAAAATGCAACTAATGAGCTTGTTCGATTGTTTAGTGGTTATAGTTTAAATTATTGGTCAATTAAAATTCGTGAAGCAGTTTAGGGGATGCTCTAAATTAACAGGGAACACCTACCAGATAAAAGCCTCCTATAAATTTGTAGACAATTGATATCTTGTAATCATCGTAGTGTGGGATCACTTGCTCCTTTCTCTTCATATTTGGTTGTGGAGTTGCAGCAAATTTGCAAGTTCACCTATATATTTTGCCTGATAAATGAGTAGATATCTATGATGCCTCAATGCCACAACTAATAAAATGGGAGGAGTTGTCTTTATGTAGAGGGAGTAGTCGTTTCCCGAGACAGATAAAGCAAAAGAAAATCAGTAACACAGGTCGAAAGCAAAGTTATAGAAGCATGAAGACAATAATATCGTGACTCATATTCGCTTGGCCGCATATATATCCAACAAACCTCCATTCCCTCGATAATCTATATAATTGGCATATAAAAAAAACCTAGAGTTTAAGATTTTGTACCCTCGCTGAAACTCCATAGCTATGGTGGATTCGAATTCAAACTGTGTAAATAAATCATGATGCACAACAACAATCAAAATGAAGTCTTATTGAGCTCATCAATCAAAGCACGTAGCTCAGGTTACTCAAACATTATCCTACCTAGAGGTGGAAATTCTCAATTCAATCAATCCATCCATCCAATAAAAATATCCAACTAATCCAATCCATTTAAATCCAATCCATTTGATCCAAATTCAATTGGATTGGTGGATTCATGGATTGAATCCATGAATCATTTGGCAAATTACAGTTTAGTACATATAATTTTTATTTAGTATATTTTGGTACCTAAAATTTAATTTTTATACGAAAATATCATTGGAAAATTACATTTTGGTACCTAATTTTTTTATTATGACACTTTAGTACCTAAACTTTTCGCATTTTACATATTGTTCATTGGTTGAAGATGTCATTTGGATTCATAAATAATCCACCAATCCATTTGATCCATAGATCCACCAATCCAATCCACCAATTCAATCCATTTGCCACCTCTAATCCTACCAATATAAATATAAGGGGATTTAACAACTTCTAGCTATAATACTTTGCATAACCACTCAAAAGTCAAGTGTTCCTCCTTTTTGGACACATAAAAAATTAAAACTAATAATTGTTCTTATATTGTATTTATTCTTGTAGAGTTCAAGTAACAACATATGAGCTCATAATTTGGATATACCTTATACATTATGTTGGATGAAAATCTGAACCACCATATAGAATGACAATATGGCAGGCAGAAAAGAGATTTATTGAGCGTCTTTTTCGGCTTCGGTACGGGAATCTCGATACCCATACTCGCTCCATGGTAAGTTGGGGTCTAGATCAGGTAATTTCTCATAGAGCGCGGGTCAGGGCAGATCAACTCATATGTGTATGTGATTTAAAGGGAAAATGTTAGAAATATTCTTCTTTTTTTGTTAAAAATCCAAGAAACAAACTATAGCATGATTAATATAGTTAAATTATTCGAGAAATTGAGGTTCTCACCTAGCTGGCATCTCATTATAGCTAAAAATGAAGTAACCAAAGTATAATCCTTAGTCATTTGAGTATAATTACATGTAATTTAGTCAAAAACGCGCAGAGAATGAGGCGGGTCGATACAGGTCAGGTTGAAGAGAGTACATATGTCCACCCTTCCCCGCCTATGGGGAGGGTATTACCGTAGGAAAAAAGAGATTTTTCTCATTCAAAAATCTTTGATCATTTTATTTGAAATAACGAAAAGATGACCAACAATCCCTTCAATTATTACTAATGTCTAAAGTGTTGCATTCACCTAGTTTTGCAATAATAGCTTGTTCCACATCAAGATTAACTATATTTTATAAATTTCGGGTTTATTTACTTACTTTTGAAGTACATTTAAAATGTTCATTTTCAAAGTTAACGTGAAAAAAAAGTTCATTCTATTCAATATTTCTATGGGGTAATGAAAAATTAAAAAAATGTTTAAATTAAAAAAATCACAAAACAGGTCAAATAAGTCGGGTAAAACGGATCAGGTCGAAATTGACATACCATTGGTATATATTTTTATGTGGTAGCTATTTGTGATGATGGTAAGATAATTATATTAATTGCATGTATATATGGGAAACACTCCCGTGCGAGCAATTTCAAATTGGCGAAAAGTTGACACATGAATTGCTATTATATATTTTTTGGGTTAATTGCATGATTGGTCATTGAGATTACAAAAAAACGTTTAAGTTTGGTCACTCGAAATATTTAAATTCAATGGTGGTACTTTAGTTTAATAAAACTGTTCAAGTTTGGTCACTATCCGTCCAACTCCGTTAACTTTTGCTTACGTGGCGGTCAACTCTAAAAGTTTACCGTTAAATGTATGACGTGACAATTTAAAAATAATAAATTAATAAAATTAAAATTTTTAAATTGCCATCTCATTTCCATCTTATTATCACTTTTATTTAAAATAAATAAAAAACTCTAAATTTTTCTAATCTCTGATATCAATACCCCCATCGTCGTTTCCACTGTTGCTCTGTCGATAATACGAATCTCGCGCTACAAGAGTATGGACTAGGAGGGGAGAGTTTTCGAGAAATTTAAGCGTCAATCGTCCCTCGGCCATCATTCATTTCCATGGAAAGCCAGGGGAAGCTCACGAGAAGCTCGTCGTCATTTCTCGGCTCGTCGCCGACCATTCGATCGTCAATCCACTGCCTCCACAGCCTGTCCTTGATGGCGGAGGAGGACCTCTCCACTCCATTGAGACCACCGGCGGAGGACGACGACGAGAAGGATGATAAAGTGATGAGAGAAGATCGGCGGCGGAAGCCTCACCGGTGCGGGTCTAGCTCCACTACGCAGAGAACCGGTTCGAGCCGATTTACGCCAGCTCTTACCATGTTTTCCATCGCCTTCTTCTATTTCTTCTCTTTCTTCTCCTTCTCGTTTTTCTTCTTCTTCTATTTGAGGAGGGAAGAAATATCTACCTTCGAGAATTTGCTATTGGGATTGGTTTTCATCGCCGTAACCCTCTTCTTCGCCAACAAGAACAAGAGCTTGATTAACCAGAATTTGGCATTTATCAAGCAAATTTGGGACGACAGTGGAAGGAGATTCAACCTATTCCCTTCCAGAACCAAGGCCAAACAGCAGGTGAAATGGTTCATAGGCGAGCCGGATTTGGAGACTAGCGCCATGAAAACTCTCAAGGAGAAGAGGGTTATTAGAGAAGGGGTGGAGTTCTACAGCAATGGCGATTACTACGAGGGCGAATTCCATAAGGGAACGTGTACCGGGAGCGGGGTTAACAAAAAACATTCAATGGAATCGGTAGCGCCGGTGGTATTAGGGATTAAAAGAAATTAGAATTTTTTTATTTATTTTAAAGTTTAAAAATTTTAATTTATTATTTTAAATTGCCACGTCACACATTTAACGGTCAACTTTTAGAGTTGACCGCCACGTAAGCAAAAGTTAACGGAGTTGGACGGAGAGTGACCAAACGTGAACGGTTTTAGTAAATTAAAGTACCACTATTGGATTTAAATATTTTGAGTGACCAAACTTAAACGTTTTTGTAATCGCAATGACCAATCATGCAATCAACCCTATATTTTGTAGATAATTACACTACTTTTTCGTGGCCAGCTTGAAATAAGTAAAGGGCTTGGAGGCCCACACGAATGGAAGGAAAACCCAATCAGTCCTCCCATGATCTGCACCATTAGCCATAAAAATGAGGACATGCAAGATTCGGGAGAGCAACTCAATAACCAAAACACCACAAGCTCACAAAGATTAAGTTTTTGAAGGGAAAAGAAATTGTTTACACTTAAAATATTTTTGGCCTAAATTCAATGCCGTAATAATGAGTCTCGCCATTTAATTCGATACCGCATGGCCAAAACGATGTCGTTTGGAGTCGAGCAATACCGCAGAGAATTTAAGCGAAACCGCGAAGAGGCTCGGCGGTACCGCGTTACTTGAAACGACATTGGTTGCAGACCATGTGTGAGTCAAGCGCAGGACATGTGTTGCTGTTGGACAAGGAATATTTCTTATTCTATTTTTCCTTATCGGAGGAGGAGAGTAACAGCATCGTTTGGAGTCAAGCAATGATGCGAAGAGATAAAACGGTGCCGCGAACCTCAAAGCTCAACGGCACCGCGACAAGCGGCGACACCGCGGAGAGTTAAAACGGTACCGCGAAACAGAAAAACGGTACCGCAAAGAAGCTCAGCGGTACCGCGGCACTGGAAACGACACGGATACCAAAAAACAAAAGAGGAGCCGCGCGTTTAGTTGAGTGTTGGGGAAGGAGTTTTTGTTTGCTCTAATTAATTATTATTATTATTTATTCCTTGTTGGATAGGGAGAAGCGGCACCGCGGAGTGCTAAACGGTACCGCGAGTAAGCCCAACGGTACCGCGGATTAGCAAACGACAGTGTTTAAAATAACAAACAATGTCGCAAAAGGGAAAAACAAAGGCGCTAGCGATGTCGTTGGCCATAGCTAGTGATGGCCGGATTAATTAATTAATATTTTTGATAGACCGTCATTTACACATGTTTTTACCCCCATTCTTACACCGTTTGAGGTGTTGATTCTCGTGTTTTAGGCCGATTTCACGCTAGGTTGTGCTTGTTTGTGATGTTTCAGGTCCTAGTACGTGAATGAAGGCTTAGGAGCGAGTCTGGGGTCGATTGGACGAAGAACGGACGAGTGGCGAGGTTTTTGGGAGCTGCACGGGCAGACCAGGGAGGCTGCACGGCCGTGCACGGTTGCAAGCTGGCCGTGCGCCTCATGCCGAGGAGCTGCACGGGCAGGCCCTGAAGATTGCACGGCCGTGCACCTGGCCGTGCAAGAAGCCTGAGTTCGACTTAAGGGATACGCTGCGTTTCAGAGTGCACGGCCAGAATGGTGAGGTGCACGGCCGTGCACCCTGGCCGTGCAACTCGGGAAAACCCGGTTTTAAAGCCTAATCCGAGCCAGAAGTGAGGGAATCGGACCTTTTGAGCAAAAACAGAGCCCTAGAGAGAGAAAGAACGAAGAACACATCCTAGAAGCTGTCTTAGAGCTGGATTTCATCGAATCGAGCCTGGAGATTGTCATAGGAGTGAAAATCATCGTCCCGGAGCAGATTATCCTCATCGTTATGAGTATGACTAATCCGATTCTTGTTTTCTCTTCTCTCTCTATGGAGTAGAACCTCTCTTTCACTTGGGGATGAAGAACCCTAGTTCTATGTGTTAGGGGATTGATTGTAATGACTTGGGATGATACTACTGTTTGATTTTAATCGAATGATGCATGCTTCATGAATTGATTTGAGTCTGATAAGCTTGTCTCAATTTCTGCTTCAACCTGAGATAGATAGAATCTGATTAGGTTGTTAGAGCCTCTTCATTCGATAGTAGGAGACTGGTTATACGAGAGTTAGCCAGTTTACTGCTCTGTACTGGAATCTAATTCCAGTAGTGAATTTCTGTTCTTACTGCTTCAGCTTTCTATCCCGGTGAAGACTAGTCGTCTGCCGGGTAGTTAGACTGAGAGGGCTTGGTCAGCTTAAGAGATTCCAAGCTACTGCCGGATCTTCCGCAGTCTAATCAACAGTAAATCAACCCAGGAAATTGCAATTGAACCTAACTAAAGAGCTAGGGGGATTCATTCCCGAGTGACTCTTTCCTGCTTAAGAAAACCGAATAATTTCCTGCTTTATTTCTGCTTTTAGTTTAAACAACGATCACTTACTTTAGTTGGCTAGATAACAGAGAATCACTGAGTAAGCAGTAGATCTAGAGCCCGGGTTGATAATATAACTTGCCTGTTACTGCATTCCCGGTCTGCGATTACACTTGGTCGCAGATTGGTGTTGTGTTTTGGCGTGTCAAGTTTTTGGCGCCGTTGCCGGGGAACCCTCTAGGTTATTGGGGAAACGTGAGAATTTGTTACTCTAGCTTTTATTTTCTGCTTTTTATTTCTTCCACCTGTGTGCCTTCACGGGTTGTTTCTGCTGATTGTGTGCAGGTAGTGCATGACCCGTAGCCAGTCGGGAGATCTACTACCACTAGACCAGGAGCTTGAACGAACCTGCAGAAACTTCAAGCGGGCTCTCAAGGCGCGACTGGCTGCGGAGGAGGCGCTATCACAGCTGCAGTTAGAGGAGGAGGAAGAAGAGATGGCTGAACCAGGGAACCATGATATGATCCCTGAGGAGCAAACCATGGGATCCTACTGGACCACTAGAGCTGCGGACATGAGGTCACCCATTCAGCACCCTCAGGTCCCAGCCAACAACTTTGAGGTGAGCACCTCCGTGATCACCATGCTACGCGGTTCAGTAGTGTTCCGTGGTAAGGAGGGAGAGTGCCCTCGATCACATCTCAGGCGATTCCACGAGCTCATCGATGGAATCAAGATCAATGGGGTACCAGCAGATGCCATCCAGCTGAGGTACTTCCCATTCACTCTGGAGGGGCAGGCCAAGGAGTGGCTAGACACTCGATCTCCGGGCTCCATCACCACGTTCGCCAACCTGGCGGACAAGTTCCTCACCCGCTACCATCCTCCATCCAAGACAGCTGACCTGCAGAAGCAAATTACACATTTTGCTCAGGATGAGGATGAGACCATCAGGGATGCATGGGAGAGGTACAACAGTCTTTTCCTCAGGTGTCCCAATCATGGTTTCAACGATGCGTTCAAGGTGGGCACCTTCTATCACGCCCTCTTCCCGGAGGACAAGCAGCTGATCGATTCGGTTTGTGGCGGGAACATGCTGACCAAAACCCCGCCACAGCTGAATCAACTCTTTGAAGAGATGGCGGAGAATGGTTATGATTGGGGCACTGCCAGGAGATCGAGGAGAGCACCAGGCCAGGGTGTGCATGCTGTGGGCACCCAGTCATGTGATTTGGTGCAGGTAGTATCGAAGCTGGTCTCAGCTATAGATCGTTCCGGGATGATTCCAGGGACCGGACAGCAGCAGGCGATGCTCTGCCAGTGGTGCGAGAGCACCCATCATATGGTGGAAGACTGTCAGGCGATGAAGGAATCGACCACACCCCAGGAGCAGGTGAACTTCATCAACAATGTCAGGCGCAATGACCCCTACAGCAACACGTACAATGAGGGGTGGCGCCAGCATCCTAACTTCTCCTGGGCTGGGCCAAATCCCAGACCACCAGCTCCACAGGGGCAACCGGGCTTCCAGAGGCCACCATATCAGCCCAGACAGGGGCAATTCCAGCAGCCAGGTGCAGCCCCTGCTGCCCCAGTGCAGAATGATCAGATGGCTGAACTGCGGGACTTGGTGGGTTCTCTTGCCAGTGTTAGTGCTCAGAAATTCAACACCTTTGAGCAATTCATGGAGAAGGCCTCGGGTCAACTCCTGGCTCTGGAAGCTGGTCAGAGGAATACACGGGCTGTTTTGCAGGATATCCAGACCCAGCTGGGGAGCGTGGCCCAGGCAGTGGCTCAAAGGGCTCCTGGTACTCTACCAGGGCAGACCATCCCTCACCCGCCGACCCCGAATGAGCGCTGCAATGCCATCATGACCAGGAGTGGCAAGATGACTGTTGATCCCCCTGCTCGGGAACCGGAGAAAGAAAACCCTGTCTTAGCGGCTCCAGCGGTTGAACAGGAAGTAGAGAAGGAAGTTGAGGTGCCTGCACCTAAACCGCAACCAGTAGTGAAGGAGTATGTCCCTAAACTCCCTTTCCCTACTCGGTTGCACAAAGACAGGCTGGAGGCAGAGTTCGAGAACTTCATGGCCATGCTTAAGAAGCTGAATGTCCAAGTGCCCTTCCTGGAGGCACTATCGCAAATGCCAAAGTATGCGAAGTTTCTGAAAGAGCTTCTCTCAAAGAAGCAGAAGCTGAGTGAGCTGGCCACGGTAGAGCTCAGCGAGGAATGCTCGGCTATTCTGCAAAACAAGCTTCCGCAGAAGAAGAAGGACCCAGGTAGTTTTACTATCCCGTGCTCTATTGATAAATTGCATGTAGAGAAGTCCTTGGCGGATTTAGGTGCTAGTATCAATGTTATTCCATATAAATTGTTCATGAAACTAGGCCTAGGTGAACCCCGTGCTACTAGGATGACCCTTCAATTAGCTGACAGATCTGTAGTGCATCCTAGGGGTATAGTGGAAGACCTTCTGGTTAAGGTTGGCAAATTCACATATCCCGTGGATTTTGTTATCTTGGACATTAGTGAGGACACAGAAGTGCCTCTTATACTGGGAAGGCCTTTCCTGGCCACCGCCAAGGCTCTCATAGATGTGCATGATGGGACCTTAGTTTTGAGGGATGGCGAGGAGCGAATAACGTTTTCTGTTGCTGATACTATACCTGCTTCGTCACCTCTGCATGCTGTTTCTCACCAGGAGCACGAGTCTGTCGTGTATCCTTCTGTGCTGCCTATTTTGCAGGAACCGCCTCCCACACCTTCGCCGCCACTCCGGACCACTCCGTCACCCAAAGAACAGGTCAAGGAGGAGTGGCGGCCGAAACTGCAGGCAGCTAAGCCTGCTCGAAAGAAAGCCGGAGACCACTATGAGCTGGTCCCGCCCCCTCCTTGGCCATCCGAGTATTCACTCGCTTGCATCCTACCGGATGGCCAAGTCGAGCTGGCGAATGCAGGTGGCCACATTCGTCGCGTGCATGGCCACCATTTGAAGCTGTACCTCAAGAGCGATGTGGATCCGCTCTTGAAGGCACCTGATCCTACACTTCCCTGAGCATCCATACTGGCGTCCAGCTAAAAGACGGTAAAGAAGCGCTTGTGGGGAGGCAACCCCACCGAGGTTTTCATTTTCTTACCCTTTTTCCTTTGATTTTGTGTGTTTTTGAGTCTTGAGACGACGATCCAGAGTTACGTGTCGTTTTTGAGCGAAAACAGGTTGATTTCGGGACCCCAGCAAGTCGCACGGCCAGAACCTAGACTAGCACGGCCGTGCGCTATGCCTGGCCTGGCCGTGCGAGCTCTCGGCCAGGAGTGCACGGCCAAAAGCGACAGGTGCACAGCCGTGCGCCTCGGCTCGGCCAGGCCGTGTCGGCCTGCACGGGCAGAAGCACGCCGTGCACGGCCGTGCGCTCCTGCCCGTGCGGCAGGGGCTGCTTCAGCTGACGGTGATGATGGAACTACTGGCGCTGCGGATGATGACGCGTTCATGAACGACATCGACCTCGACGATCCTGGCGACGAGTAGGCTGTACTCGTTGCCCGTCTCAGTGTGTTTTCTTTTTCATTTTAGACTTTTGTGTGTTTGCTCCATGTGTGCGGAGCTTGAACTTAGTGTCGTTTGTTTTTGTTTTTGGTTTTTCCTTTGTGGTTTGATGTAGCCGTCTGGGCTAACACTTATCCCTAACGCACAGTGTGCTAGTGTGTTTCTGATGTTCGATTTGTGCAGCATTGTCCACTCTCCCGTTCGTTTCTCGCTGACTGGTCCACTTCCAGTCCCCCAGCAGTGTTCTTACCCGGTAACATAGTTCCCCTTATCTTTCCCTCTGCTCCATTGAGGGCAATGTCGTTCTTAAGTGTGGGGGGATGCTTTGTATCGGTTGGAATATTTATGATGGTGCTTGGAGCCTAGTCCGCTGTCCGAATCTTACGATTTGAGGGCTCCAAGTACTGCTGTTTGATCATATTGGCACTGTGTTTTGATGGATGAATTGATTGGTTTTCGGATTAATGCATGACAACTTGTTTGCGACTAGGACAACCTATGATGAGGACTGAGATGTGCAGTAGAACGATGTAGGGGTTCAGTTTTTCAACTGTTTGCTTGACAACTGTGACTTGATCTGACCTGATCTGATTACTTGTCCTTGACAGTCTCTTATGCATCTAGTTCAGGGTATCAGAATGTGAGATAGAGCATATAGGTAGCCATGTGAGATTTGAGCCTGCTCGTTTCTTTCTTGTGCGATAGATCCCTCTTCCATGATGTGTAGCATTCACGTTGTCACTAGCTGAGATGATGGGGGCATAGGATTAGCCCACGCCCAAAACTGACTGTCCTGATGTGTCATACCCTCTAGTCAGCCCCTTTGAGCCGTGTGTTATCCTTTCTTTTTGGTCTATAATGAAAAAATCACCCTTTTGCATCTTTTAGAAGGTTCCACAGAGTGGTTTTTTATATATTCTCTGCTGTTTCTGCTAAAGTCTATGTGAGTGTTGGAGGTAGTGCTTAAAAGTTGGGCGGATGTTTGAAATATGTGTAGGAGTGGTGGCTCTCTTAAGAAATGAAAAGAAAAATAAAAGAAAAACAAAAAAAAATTGAAAGTAAAAGAGGGCCACTACTAAAAATCTGAATAATGCCCAGTAAGTAGTGTTTCTTAGCAGTCTGGCTTGGAAATGCTGATGTTTATACCTCCTTCGCTCTTGTGCTATTGAGATATTGAGTAATGCAGAATAGCAGAAAGGAAATACCGGTTTGTTTGACTGTGATTGTTTGGGTTTGGAAATGTGGAACCTTGTGCTATGAATACTTCCACCACTTAAAAGGCCTTTTCCCCATGTCCAAAACCCTAGCCAGTCATTTGAACCTGTGTCTAAGACCTCCTGATTAGTTAGTGGTGACACCCCATATGTTAACTCTAGCATTTAGAGGCTGCCATCATGGTGAAGAGATGATAGGGATTGAGAGAAATAGCATGCGCATCTTTCGCATCAAATTGTCCTGACCCCACTGGTCGAGAGTGAGTGATTCATTTTCATTTTCTATATGCTCTTGTACCCCGGTGAGGACCTAGATTGCTCGGTCTCTATTCTGATGTCTTGAGTTGGATGCATGAGTTGACTGTTTTGAGTAAGTGGTTGAATCAAGTCTAGGTTGGCTAGTGAACAGAAGGGAGACTCTTCCTTTACTCGATCTGCTGCACTCGAATGTCCTTTGTGGTGGTTGTCCAGGTTGTTGTTGAGGTTGTGCATGTATTGATGTTTGAAAACCAGTGCGATTCACGTGTTCTGTGCCTTTATGACTTGTCCCCAATGTTGGTTGATTGAAATGTGTAGGCTTACCTAATGTCTGACTTGGTTTGCTTGGGGACAAGCAAACGGTTAAGTGTGGGGGAGTTTGATAGACCGTCATTTACACATGTTTTTACCCCCATTCTTACACCGTTTGAGGTGTTGATTCTCGTGTTTTAGGCCGATTTCACGCTAGGTTGTGCTTGTTTGTGATGTTTCAGGTCCTAGTACGTGAATGAAGGCTTAGGAGCGAGTCTGGGGTCGATTGGACGAAGAACGGACGAGTGGCGAGGTTTTTGGGAGCTGCACGGGCAGACCAGGGAGGCTGCACGGCCGTGCACGGTTGCAAGCTGGCCGTGCGCCTCATGCCGAGGAGCTGCACGGGCAGGCCCTGAAGATTGCACGGCCGTGCACCTGGCCGTGCAAGAAGCCTGAGTTCGACTTAAGGGATACGCTGCGTTTCAGAGTGCACGGCCAGAATGGTGAGGTGCACGGCCGTGCACCCTGGCCGTGCAACTCGGGAAAACCCGGTTTTAAAGCCTAATCCGAGCCAGAAGTGAGGGAATCGGACCTTTTGAGCAAAAACAGAGCCCTAGAGAGAGAAAGAACGAAGAACACATCCTAGAAGCTGTCTTAGAGCTGGATTTCATCGAATCGAGCCTGGAGATTGTCATAGGAGTGAAAATCATCGTCCCGGAGCAGATTATCCTCATCGTTATGAGTATGACTAATCCGATTCTTGTTTTCTCTTCTCTCTCTATGGAGTAGAACCTCTCTTTCACTTGGGGATGAAGAACCCTAGTTCTATGTGTTAGGGGATTGATTGTAATGACTTGGGATGATACTACTGTTTGATTTGAATCGAATGATGCATGCTTCATGAATTGATTTGAGTCTGATCAGCTTGTCTCAATTTCTGCTGCAACCTGAGATAGATAGAATCTGATTAGGTTGTTAGAGCCTCTTCATTCGATAGTAGGAGACTGGTTATACGAGAGTTAGCCAGTTTACTGCTCTGTACTGGAATCTAATTCCAGTAGTGAATTTCTGTTCTTACTTCTTCAGCTTTCTATCCCGGTGAAGACTAGTCGTCTGCCGGGTAGTTAGACTGAGAGGGCTTGGTCAGCTTAAGAGATTCCAAGCTACTGCCGGATCTTCCGCAGTCTAATCAACAGTAAATCAACCCAGGAAATTGCAATTGAACCTAACTAAAGAGCTAGGGGGATTCATTCCCGAGTGACTCTTTCCTGCTTAAGAAAACCGAATAATTTCCTGCTTTATTTCTGCTTTTAGTTTAAACAACGATCACTTACTTTAGTTGGCTAGATAACAGAGAATCACTGAGTAAGCAGTAGATCTAGAGCCCGGGTTGATAATATAACTTGCCTGTTACTGCATTCCCGGTCTGCGATTACACTTGGTCGCAGATTGGTGTTGTGTTTTGGCGTGTCAATTTTAATGACTATTTAGCACGGTGTCGTTTAGTTGAAAACGACGCCGTGAGAGGAAAGAAACGACACCGCGGATTTAAAAACGATACCGCGAAACGATGTCGCAACAGTCAAAACGACAGTGTTAAAATTAAAACAGTGTCGCGAAGCTCAAAAGTTCAACGACATCGCAGGACAAGGAAACGATGTTGTCTAACTAAGAACGACGCCGATGGGTGAGAGTTTGACGGCGAGTTAACAATGAGGGCTGGTTTAATTAATTAGTATTTTATGATTATTTTAGACGGTGTCGTTTAATGAAAAGCGATGCCGCGGAAAAGTAAAACGACATTGCGGTAGTGGTAAGAATTCGGCCAAAAGCAGCCCGCCAAGCCCAACGACGGCGCAAGAGTAGAGAACGACGTTGTTTGATGGACTAACAATGTTGTTGGTTAAACCGGGTCGGGGCAGTTGAGTTGGATTATAAAACAACATCGGTTGGTGAAAGGCGATGCCGTGGTATTGGTGAAACGGCATCGTTACAGGGACAAGGTTGTAGGTTGTTTCGCCAAGTTTTTGCAAAGCAGGAGCGGTTTCAGGAGCGGTTTCGAGGGCATGTGATTATCACGCAACAAGTAGGGAGTTACCTGCACGGTTGACAGGAATGAAGACGTGGGAGACAAAGGCGCCAAGGCAGTTACTACGACGGGGAGAAGCGCAAAGTATAAAGATTGGGAAGAGAGAGAAGCTCGGGACGGCAAAATCAAATCACAACTGCACCGTCGCAGATCTATCAGTTTATCTCTGTAGTTTCGTAGAACCGCTCTGTCAAAGACCTCCTTTGCAGAGTCGTAGTAGTTGTAGTCGTAGTTGCGGAGCTCTCCAGAGGAACCTCCATAGGAGCAGGGGTAACGTAACTTAGAACTCATGGTTCGATTTTCTGGTTATTCGACGAACACCCTCGTTCGAACGTAGTTTGGAGAGGTGGTGAACCGAATAACGGTTGTTTGGTTAGAAGTCAAAGGTGTATCGATCAAATCAACATCGCCGACATCGGTGGTGGATATTTGACGGTCGTCTTGATTTCTGTATAATCGATCAAATCAACGGCGCCGACATTCGGCGGCGGATATTTGACGATTTTGCTGACTTTTTATTTTTGTTTCCTTGAAAACATAGCGCATTGAACGCGCGAGTTTCGCCAACGAAACAAATTGGCACACCTGGTGGGACTCGTGTGTTCGAATGGCTCCGCGACGAAGGAATCAGGAAGGGGATGTTCCACCCGGATTCGTGGAGGAACATGTGGCCAACATTGAAGGAGGACAAGGAGTCGGTGCTGAAGACATCGGCGGGTCTGGGAATCCGCCGTCCACAGTTGTGCCGACCGAGGATATGTCTATCCGCCATTTCATGGAGGAGAACCGTCGCATGTTTGCTGGCCTCAACAGTGAGTTTGCAGGCTTCAAAGGCGAGGTAAATCAGAGGGTTGACGCTTTAACTGCACAACATGATTCTCTTGAGTCTCGTGTTGATAGGTGTTTGGGTCAACTCTTTGACGTTGTGACTAAAAACAGGCATGATTTTGATGTTTTTGTTGATAAAAATCTACGTGACATGAATGAAATCAGGGAGCTTTTGGGTAGACCAGCAACGCAACCTAGGTGTTTGCCGTTAAACGGTGAAAACAATCTAAACAGTGAAACTTGTTTTCCAAACAACGGTGCTCGAAATAGTCCGCCAAGACAAGGGGTACCGCCGACACCGGTGGTGAACCCACCAACTCCGCGAGTTAATATTGGCGAGACTAGCACTGCTGCTAACACTCGGGTTGAACCACCGCCGTTTCACGGTGCGGGTCCACAAAATATCCCGGAGGCTAGACCCTATGTGGCGCCGATGAGCGGGGGTGTTGGTGGAGGAACGATCAACAATGATCATGTTCCGCCACGCAACTACCCGCAAAACGTCCCTCCTCCTCCAAACGTGTTTGGCATGGATCCTGGTGGATTCATACCACAAGGGGAACAACTCGAGGGGCAAGACGTTAACGCGATTCGAGATCAGGTAGCACAGATGCTGGCGGATCAGTTTGGTTTAGGGATTAGACCAGCGATGCCGCCGGTATACCGAAAACCATATCCGGATTGGGATGATAGATACTACCCCTTTCCACGTTGTTTTCGCGTACCTGATTTCATCACCTTCAGCGGGATTGGAGATCAGTCCACCGTCGAGCACGTTGGACGATTCACGGTTCGGTGTGGTGATGTGAGTGATTTCTTGAAGTTGCGTTTGTTTGGCAACTCGTTGACCGGTCCCGCATTTGCGTGGTACGTCAATTTGCCATCAAACTCGGTTCAAACATTGCAGCAAATGAAACAAATGTTCCATGCCCAATTCTACCGTTCTGAGCCAGAAGTAACTATGGCAGACTTGGCACGAATGCGCCAACAGCCAGGAGAAACGGTGGAACACTTTTTAACTAATTTTAAAAATGCAAGAAATCGTTGTTTTGTGAACTTGACAGAACGCGAGTTTGTTAAACTTGCCCAGGGTGGATTGAATTTTGAACTTCGTAAAAAGTTTCAAGATAGGGAGTTCTACGATCTGTTTCAATTGATGTCCTGCGCTGTTAGATATGAATCTCTTCTTCATGAAGAAGAACATAAGAGAAGTGGCTCTCGTGGACAATATGTCCCTAATTTTGAAAACTATGGTGTGAATAACGTCGGCAGCGATGTTGATGAGGTTGAAATTTATTTGGCCGAGATTGTGCAGGGGAAGCCATATGTGTGTGCTTCTCTGGCCAAGGCCGATGGGGAACCACAGGGTGGAAAGCCCAATCGTGCTCCAATTCAACCTAGAAAATATTCTTTCGATGTTTCAAAATCGGATATAATTTTCGACTAGCTTTACAAAGATGGTCAAATTAAGTTGACTGGAGGGCAAACTATCCCGCCAGCTGAAAAATTAAAAGGAAAACGCTATTGTAAGTGGCACAACAATGCGTCTCACTCAACTAATATGTGTGTAGTGTTTCGAAACGTGGTGCATGATGCTATTGAAAAAGGTCGGTTCAAGGTACCGGAGTCGAGGAAGGAGGCCATGATGGTCGACACTGACCCGTTTCCCAACGGTGTGGGCGTCAATATGGTCAACATTGTGGGGGGCAACATTGTCGAAGCTCTTTTGTACCACAAAGACCTTGGTTCTCAAAAAATTAGGAGTATGGAAGGGGGACCATGCAACGTCGCAGTTTCAAGCACAAAGGTGTTGGGTAAGGCGTGCTTGAACTCGTTGTCCGAGATTGTGAGACCATCAATGCTTGCATTAGGTGGTCCACCAAAATCTGAGTAAGCCACCTCAAGAGAGGGTGACAAAGGCCGAAATTACGGCCTTGCTGGAGGGGTTGCCGATCAACGGCGACGATTCGAGTAACGAGGTGGGAAAGGAAGCAGTGTTGCCGACATTGTAGAAGAAATCTACCTTGGTATGCGAAGGAGGATCAACGTTCAACTTTCATAGTGCCATCTTGCATGAATCTTACAGGTACGAGTTAACTCTGCTTTTGATTGGCTTCAAAGATTGTGTTACGTGTGAATGTCATGAAATATTGCATGTGCATGTTGCAGTCTTGCTAGCCAGACAATTTATTGATTTTTATGTTAGATTGTCCAATAAGTGAAGGATTGAGCTATATAGGCACTAACGGCGTTGCAACAACAAAATCACCACCGTTGGAGTGAAGTTGTGGCTTGTTATGTTATATGGTTTGAGTTTTTGGTCAAAGTTGTTTAATATGGTTGGCCAGTGTTTATGATGTTGACGAGATAGCCAAAACATCGACATAGGGTAAAAAGCTTTACCATGTAATTTTCGTTGACAATGGTCACATAAGACGAAAGAAGGGCCGGACCAATTATGCTTATTTTTACCTAAGCTAGCAAGCGAAGTTGTTTGTGGCATGGCTGTTGTATTCTCTTTTAGCAACAACTTTGTAGTGGCTTGGAGGAAAGAAAAGAGCATATTCTTGGCCAAAAAATAATAATAATATATAAAAAAAGAATTTTGCATGCAGAGTTGCTGCTGTTGCTAACAGCGCTGATGATAAAAAAAGGTAAAGTCTCAGCGCTGCGCGTTGTGGCCGAAATTTGACAGCCCGGTAAAAAAAAAAAAACGGGTTGTGGCCGAAATTTGACTGCCCCGGTAAAAAAGAAAGAAATAAAATAAATAAGTAATGGCTTTGAGGGAAGAGGCCGCCAGGTCTGAGAGAAAAAAAAGAAGGGAAAGGGCGGCCAAAATAGCGCTGATTATTAATTAAAAAATATCTATCAGCGCTGCGGCTGTGGCTCACAGCCATATAAAAAAAAAAGGGGGCAAAGGGGTGGCGGCAACTCAGGCCTGACCATATTAAAAAAAAAAAAAAAATAGGGGTGGCGGCAACTCAGCCCTGATCATATATATAACAAAAAAAAAATTGGCGGTTGAGGGAAGGAGGCTGCCAGGCCTGCTGCAAAAAAAAAAAAGGCGGAGTAAGCCTATTTTGGCTAAGGCAGCGCTGCGCCACTATAACAGGATTGGTTCGGTCGGTGCTGAGAGGGAAGGAAACAAGGCTGCAACCTTGTGGATTCGCAGTGCTGCGAAGAGAATTTTTTTTTTACAAGGCCATTATCATGGTTTTCCTAATCCTCTTTGACCAGCGTGATTTGTGGATTTTCTTGGCAAAGTTGAGTCAATTGTTATGAAATTTTAGGTGATTTGAAGTGTGTCAACAACTTGGTTCATAAATTCTTATAAACCAAGTTGTGGAGGGCATTGTTTACACCTAAAATATTTTTGGCCTAAATTCAATGCCGTAATAATGAGTCTCGCCATTTAATTCGATACCGCATGGCCAAAACGATATCGTTTGGAGTCGAGCAATACCGCAGAGAATTTAAGCGAGACCGCGAAGAGGCTCGGCGGTACCGCGGTACTTGAAACGACATTGGTTACAGACCATGTGTGAGTCATGCGCAGGACATGTGTTGCTGTTGGACAAGGAATGTTTCTTATTCTATTTTTCCTTGTCGGAGGAGGAGAGTAACAACACCGTTTGGAGTCAAGCAATGCTGCGAAGAGATAAAACGGTGCCGCGAACCTCAAAGCTCAACGGCACCGCGACAAGCGGCGGCACCGCTGAGAGTTAAAACGGTACCGCGAAACAGAAAAACGGTACCGCAAAGAAGCTCAGCGGTACCGCTACCAAAAAACAAAAGAGGAGCCGCGCGTTTAGTTGAGTGTTGGGGAAGGAGTTTTTGTTTGCTCTAATTAATTATTATTTTTTTTTATTTCTTGTTGGATAGGGAGAAGCGGCACCGCGGAGTGCTAAACGGTACCGCGAGTAAGCCCAACGGTACCGCGGATTAGCAAACGACAGTGTTTAAAATAACAAACAATGTCGCAAAAGGGAAAAACAAAGGCGCTAGCGATGTCGTTGGCCATAGCTAGTGATGGCCGGATTAATTAATTAATATTTTAATGACTATTTAGCACGATGTCGTTTAGTTGAAAACGACGCCGCGAGAGGAAAGAAACGACACCGCGGATTTAAAAAAGATACCGCGAAACGATGCCGCAACAGTCAAAACGACAGTGTTAAAATTAAAACAGTGTCGCGAAGCTCAAAAGTTCAACGACATCGCAGGATAAGGAAACGATGTTGTCTAACTAAGAACGACGCCGATGGGTGAGAGTTTGACGGCGAGTTAACAATGAGGGCTGGTTTAATTAATTAGTATTTTATGATTATTTTAGACGGTGTTGTTTAATGAAAAGCGATGCCGCGGAAAAGTAAAACGGCATTGCGGTAGTGGTAAGAATTCGGCCAAAAGCAGCCCGCCAAGCCCAACGACGGCGCAAGAGTAGAGAACGACGTTGTTTGATTGACTAACAATGCTGTTGGTTAAACCGGGTTGGGGCAGTTGAGTTGGATTATAAAACAGCATCAGTTGGTGAAAGACGATGTCGTGGTATTGGTGAAACGGCATCGTTACAGGGACATGGTTGTAGGTTGTTTCGCCAAGTTTTTGCAAAGCAGGAGCGGTTTCAGGAGCGGTTTCGAGGGCATGTGATTATCAGCAACAAGGAGAGAGTTACCTGCACGGTTGACAGGAATGAAGACGTGGGAGACAAAGGCGCCAAGGCAGTTACTACGACGGGGAGAAGCGCGAAGTATAAAGATTGGGAAGAGAGAGAAGCTCGGGACGGCAAAATCAAATCACAACTGCACCGTCGCAGATCTATCAGTTTATCTCTGTAGTTTCGTAGAACCGCTCTGTCAAAGACCTCCTTTGCAGAGTCGTTGTAGTCGTAGTTGCGGAGCTCTCCAGAGTAACCTCCATAGGAGTAGAGGTAACGTAACTTAGAACTCCTGGTTCGATTTTCTGGTTATTCGACGAACACCCTCGTTCGAACGTAGTTTGGAGAGGTGGTGAACCGAATAACGGTTGTTTGATTAGAAGTCAAAGGTGTATCGATCAAATCAACATCGCCGACATCGGTGGTGGATATTTGACGGTCGTCTTGATTTCTGTATAATCGATCAAATCAACGGCGCCGACATTCGGCGGCGGATATTTGACGATTTTGCTGACTTTGTATTTTTGTTTCCTTGAAAACAGAGCGCATTGAACGCGCGAGTTTCGCCAACGAAACAGAAATACAAACTAATGGGTTGGGTTGCCTATCAACAAGCGCTTCTTTCACGTCATGAGCCGGACGGTTGCTCCTATATTTCAATGCATCTCAAAACCTCCCTGAAGTTGAGGTTCTTGTCAGTGCTGTGGAGGCGCAAGTCACAAGCATTTGGTGTGATAAGTGATGATGGTGGCTCGTGGACTTGATGAGAATTGAGCCTCCACCCATGATACCTCTTCTTCTTTCCTTCTTTTTCTTCTCTTGCCCCATGTAAGACATCAAGGATTGGTCATCATCACATACACCAATAGGGATCAATGATGGTGTGGCCTTGGCTTGGAAAAGAGATGTCATAAATGGGTCCTTCTCGAGAGGTACATTAGGGTTGCATGGAAACATTTGGTTATCACTTGTAACTTGTAGAAGGTTCATCCATCCAGACCTCTTCCATTGATCATGCACTAAATTATTCCTCAACCTCTCCTTTTTCTTCAAAAATTGTTTGTCCTCTTGGAAACAATCAAGAGTTTCCTCCTTAGTGCTCACTTCTTCCTCATCGACCTCTCCTCTCACCTTTCCATCCTTGTCTTCAAGCCCAAATTGGAGGGAAATTTTTCATGCAAGGTTGTTGATTAGGTCATCTTGCTACTCAACCCTCTTGACTAGGTATTTTCAAGTTGGTCTTGGGATGGGAAAAGGTGTGGGTGTTGAAAATAAGACACTCTTGGTCATCCTCACCATGGGAGCTCTCTAAGATGAGTTCTTCTTTCTCCACACGGTCATCATTGATCGCTTCTTCAACCTCCTCTTCCTCTCCAAATTTTAAGAGAAGAAGTTGTGCGCAACCTTGCTCAACTTTCTCTCCTTGCTTCAAATCGAGAGGGGGAGGGGTCGGTAAGCCACATTAGAGCATGCTCTTCCAAATTTCTCCATGGAAGGCTCTAATGATATCCAACTCAGATTTCATCTCGGGTGGTGGAGGGAACTCTTCTCGTATTGAGGAGCTTCTTGAAATACTCTTGAGTATGGTTGCTCTCCATGGAAGGGAGCTTGAAAAGAACCTGAATCCTTGGCTTCCATCTTCCTTTATAATTGTCCTCCATAATTTATTTTTTTCAATTATTATTTCCAACTTTTTTCATTTTTATCTTCTATACCTATTGCGTACTTTTTAAAAACGGTACACATGAAAACAAAGTTAGGTCCCCTCTTTGTGATTCATAAAAAAAGTGTTCCATCTCTGTTAGTGGGTCGTCACTTTCGCCTCGTGCGTACTGACCGATAACGGCCTCCACCGTCGTCACCGTCAACCCCAACCACAACATATGGTTCCGACATCACCATCTCACGCAGCCGTCTCCTGAAGAGAGAGAGAGTGAGAGAGAGAGAGCATGGGAGGAGATAGAGAGAGCAGCGGGAGGATACACGCAGCACTGGTCGGGGGTAACCGGAGGGGAGGGAGGCCGCTGTGGTGGCCGGCACGGATTCATCGTCGGGGATGGTGTAGGCGGCCGGCGGGATTAGTGCGACGGAAGTAATGGAGGAGGCGGCGGTGGGTTTGGCCGGAGGGAGAGTAGAACTACGGTTTGGTAGATTATATAGAATAATCGTGTGTGGTCACTTTTTCATTTCCAAGATTACCCTAAAAGAATCTTAACCGTAAGATTAAAAAAGAAGGAAAATAGTTAATCAAATGGTATATAAAGAGGTTGCCACCGTGATACTAAAAAACAAGTAATCACCATAACCCATGTCGTACTGTTTGACTTTGTGTTCCCTCCTGTCTCGTGGTTTCTCATTCCTCCAGCATGGTTTTGTTGTGGCTCCCTTATTTTGGGTGCCTCTTGTGTTGGCCTCGTCCCTTGTCTCTCTGCCTCAGCCAAAACCTCATACCTATTTGTTGTTTCCCGCATCTGTGTTACTGGGTGGTTCGATTGTCCCCTTATCGCTCCAAATCTTCAATCTTTTTCTTTGCGACAATCCATTCCCCATATAAGGGGGATTTCGGCACTGGTTCCACATGCATATCATTTGTTTGGTCTGCTTCGTCAACAATTGGCTCCGACTCAGGGGGTTTGGTGCATCTGCATTGCTCAGTCGTATACCCATATTTCCTGCATTCAAAACACACATTGTAAAGGCTCTCGCATCGCATGTGATGAAATTCTCTTTCCCTTCAACTTTGTACTTCGATAAAAGCGGCTTCGTTAGATCCACTTCAACAAAAACGTGAGCATATTTCATTCTGGCTCCCTCAAGAGTTGCTCGATCCACCCTGGCCGGATTACCAATCAGTCCGACGATTCTCATCACTGCTATCTGATTAAAAAATTCTGAAGGGAGGCGGGGAAGCTGCACCCAAACCATTGTAGTCTTTGTCTCAACCTGCCATGGGTCAAAACCTCGATACCACCGATGGACAGTAACAAATCATTCTATGATACAACCCAAACTTGTACCAATACATTATGGTACAAGTTTAAGTACCTAGACACTATGGTGCAACTTTATGTTTGTACCAACACTTTCGAACAAATCTCTCTATGGTACAACTTCCTATACGTTATGGTACAACTTTAGGTTGTACCTACACTTTCGAACACATCTCTCTGTGGTACAACACAAACTTCTACCTACACTTTCCAAAAAAAAACCAACCCAAACTTGTACCTGCACGCTTTGCGAAACAAATTCTTCAATGGTACAACTCAAACTTAAAATTGTATCTACACGCTATGTACAATTTTGGGTTGCACCTACACTTTGTGCGAAACAAATTCTTCAACGGTACAACTCAAACTTGTACCCTGTAGGATATGTACAACTGTAATTTGTACCTACACTTTTATCGATTGATTAATTATTTACAAGATTGTCATTAATAAATGTGGGATCAAGTCACTTAATGGGTTTACCTCCCCAACCACCGATAACCTTTTTATTTTTATTTTTTATAGTATAAAAAAAGAGCACAGACCGTCGGTATTAGTCAATCATTTTCCAAAGAGGAAAAGGTTTCCAGAATCCAGTAGGGAAAAGGAAAGAAGTCAAGCGTAGTACTATAAAAGCAGAGGAGCTCAATCGATCGTAAGTGCTAGTCGGCAATTTAGGCATGGCAGGCGACGATGAAGAGCACTACACGGTGCTGGGGCTTCCTTCAGGGGAGTTAGGGTTGCGGGTGTCGTCGTCGGAGATCCGCCGCGCTTACAAACGCAAGGCATTCGAGCTGCACCCGGACAAGAGACCCGACGACGAGAACGCAAAGCAAAAGTTCCAGAAGCTGCAATCCTCCTACGAGGTTCTCAAGGACGACACATCTCGCAAGTTGTATGATGATCGCCTTCGGCTCAAGATCCTTCTGAAATCCAAGCAGCGCCGGGAACGAGCTTCAGATCATGATCATCATCGTTCCGAGCGAAAGAAGCAGAAGCAGAAGCAGCAGCAGCAGCAGCAGGACGACCTAGCTGAAGAGATTCGGGAGCAAGCAAAGCGGCGGAGTTGGGAGCAAGAACAGCAACGCTTAGCTACAGAGTTCTCGGAGAAGATCGCGAGGAACGTGCGCTTGCTGGCCGAGCACCAAAAGAAGCGAGCGTTCGAAAACTACCAATTCCGGCGCAGAATGGAACTTGAGGACCCGTTCTTCATGCCTTACCAATGGTTTTAAACAACGTTGTTGAGTCACATTTTGGTGGCGGCACCGTGACTACCAATTGACGCAATCAAAACGCGTGTATGCAAATTATCGATCCAGTAATTAAGATAAGTAAAGTTATCGTAAAAGCAAGTGTCTTTGTCATCCAAACAAAGAGTACTGGGAGAAAACAAACTTGCTGAGGGATTATGTGCAGTGCTGCATGGCCAAATCTGTAGAACAAAACTCTTTCAGCAGGCTAAAGTTAGCATTCCACAGAATGAATGAACAATTCCAAAAGCATACGTGTTCTCATCCATGTTTTTACGACTTGAATTGAATTATTTGCCTTCGATTAGAAGCTATGGAGTCTTGATGTAAAGTGTAGTGTCCTTAAGTACAATGAAATTGACTCTCTTATCCCCGTGAACTAACTAACACACATTATGTTAGTGACCCACGTAAATTTATGTCTTCTTCACTTTCTTGCATTGTCGATTGTATCCAGATGCGCTCTTAATAATTCATCATTCCAGCTTGCTTTTATCGATTATTAGCTTCTTTTCTAACTAATCCTCGGTAAAACAATAAATCTAAATGGAAGTTAGAAAGAAACCTAAAATGTGACATTTTTTGAAACTATAAGACACGTATGAGCGTATAGTATTTATTTAGAATTGCTATAACTAGTTCCAATTCCGTAGAATTCAAAATTTAGAATTGAAAATGAATTATTTTAAATACCAAACAGAAAAAAAATTCATTTCAAAATGAATTCCTAAAAAACTTATGGAATTCATTTATACCAATCAGTATTAAAAGTAAATATTCAACATCATCAAAAAATAAAAGCTTGAATTGCTAAACTACTAAATAGTTCATCCATACTCTCTTTTTTTATCGGAACCCGCTAGAGTTTTATTTATCAGCGTTTGTCGTTACATCATCCAACATCAGTTGATCAACAAGAAAAACCGGCGGTCTGTCCATCCAAACAATACTCTCATCCCATCTAGTTTTCGAATGAGCCATGATGTGGGCTGCCTTGTTTGCTTCACTGTAGATGTGCTTCCATCCAGTTTCGTCCATCTCCGAGAGTTTCTTGCGAATATTTCTGCATAACGCGCCCTCCTCCGTTCACACCTGTTCCGCCTTCTGCATCAGCACTTGGCTGTCGGACTCTAGGATTGGTCGTTCGAGCTGCAACTGCCAGGCTAACTGCACTCCTAGATCAGCAGTAGCAGCCTCTGCCTGTAACCATAGCAGTCAAAATCGCACTTTAAAGCATATGTTTCTACCTATTTATACGAATCAGATAACATGTTCCAAGGTAGGTTTGTTGAAATTCTAAGCAAACAACCTGCTAAAGATTTCTCATACCTCGAATCAAAAGTTAACCATCAAGTGCTTGGTTTACTTGCGCATTTGTGACATAAAGTCCACAAAATAGGAGTTTGATTTTGTTGGTTAGTTGATTGCTTTTGGTCACCCTTTCTAGCTTTCCTGGATGGACTAATCCACTAAATTCTCATCAGGGATGACAAAAAAAATATCCATATTTGACTATCTATCTAAACTCATCTTAATACCGCTCAGATTAGATTTGGGCAATTTTGTTTTGAAGAAGACCATAATCAACTTTTTAGTTTAACTCCAAATTACACATATGTATTGGTTACTCAAGAAAGTGAATACCTAATTCTAATACAATTTTTGTTAGGGTTAATTGCATGGTTGGTCAGTGAGATTACAAAAAACGTTCAAGTTTGGTTACTCAAAATATTTAAATCCATTGGTGGTACTTCAGTTTACTGAAACGGTTTATGTTTGGTCACTCTCTGTCCAACTCCGTTAACTTTTGCTGATGTGGCAGTCAACTCTCAAAGTTGACCGTTAACTTAGTGACGTGACAACTAAAAAATTATTAAAAATAAAATTAATTTTTATATTTTCCACCTCATTTTTACATTCATTAAAAAATAAAATACAAAACCTAATTTATTTTCTACAAATTTCTCAAGTTGTTATGACTTTCTCGAAAAACGACAACCGCTGAAAGCAGAGCTCTGTCGCCGGACTGCAACGAGGAAACCTTCAAGGAAGTCCTCTCCTCCGAAACCCCTAATCCCTAGCCTGCCCACCCCCACCGCATTACTCCCTCGTTCCTCCTTCATAGCTTTCTCTCTCTCTACCTATCCATCCATCCACACCTCTTATCTCTCTCTCTTTCTCCCAACTCGTCGGCACAACATTAACAATGGCGGCATTATGTTTCACGGTATTTCCACTCCCCCTCGGCGCGGCCAAACCAACAAGGACGCCGCACTACTCGGCTCCTGCGCGGCCGCCAAACCCAGAAGCTTGTCATCCACCGCCGGCGCCGTATCCATTGATGGTACTTCAGTTTACTGAAACGGTTCACGTTTTTTATAATCTTAGTGACCAACCATGCAATTAACCCATTTTTGTTATAAAACAAATAGAAAGGTGAAACACAAACACTAATTGTGTAATTGGATTGGAGGTAGTTAATGAGATGATCAATATTGTTTTTTGTATGTACAATCCTATGAACACAAATAGATTCATTTGATTCAGACCAAATGAATTTATCCCAATTAAACACAATTCAAAACCATTAAAAAGTACATATGAGTCCATATGAATTTAACCCAGTACTCATATAAATATTGATCATGCTAATTGAGTCATATTATCCTGAGAGTAGAACTATTTCTAATTGATCATCGCTTTTAAAATATTAGATGATATATCAAATGATGAGCGAGAGATGGTTGTGATATATTATTGTTTAGGGTGCATTTTTTAGCAAATGTTATAGTGATCTTATTCAAGGTGCCCTAAATCAGCAGTGAGCTCACTTCGATTACAATTTTCTCTTTTATGGCTTCCATGAGCATTTTGTTTCCCTCTTCAGACGAATTTGCCAACTGAAGTAAAAAACCCAAAACCATTTTTAGAAACAGAAAAGACATTTGCAGCCATAGTTCTCTACTCTGCAGCTTCTCCCGTCCTACCACCAATCCATCATTCATCCCTAACCAACAACAACCTCCACGAAACACAAGCAATCCTTCTTCTCCCCCATGACAGTCTCAATCGCCCCAATTAGCTCCTCTTCACACCTCACCTTCGCCGTCCAGCACTCTCCTTCCCCATTATGTATGGCGTCAACAACCCCTGCATAGTCCCACCTCTTACAACCCTTGCCGTCGTCCATCCTCACCAGGAAGAACACGCTCTTATGGCCCCATCTCATCATCGTCGAAACGTCTTGAAATGTCACCTGAAAGCTCCGGTCAGCAACACAGCAGATCACCCGTTTCCCCGCCGGCGACGTCGCCTGAGCGTACCCCAGGCTGGCTCCGCACGACCAACCCATCGAAGATCCGTACTCGTACCCACACCCATTGGGCAGTTTCAGCTTCTGCGACCTAACCCACCATTCCCCTGTCTCTGCAATTACAGCGCTTTCGCTCGACATCATCATCTTCTCCACGTGCTTGAACAGGACACTCGCCTTCACATGGTCTTGAGGCTGCTCTGCTCCTTCTTCCTCGTTGGGGTTATTGCTGTTGGTGAGGTAGTCTTCGTGAGCGGCGGAGTTGGGTGTGAGCTTCTCTGCAAGAGCTTTGAGGAACTCCTTCATCACGACGCACCCAAATGCTGCTCCGTTGCCGATGGCGACTCTCCCTGGCTGGACAACGACGGACTTCTCTCTCTTGGCGACCAGCAAGTCGTTGTAAACAGGGACGCCGACGAAGAGGTAACCGTCGGCGGTGGACTGGACGATTTCGCTCCCCGTGGGGACGAAATGCGGATGGTCCTCGGGGACCAAGCCTTTGCCCGATGGGATTACCCCAACTGCGTAGCCACACGAGTCAGACAATTCGACAAACACCTGGCGTGCATCTGCCAATCTGAGTTTCGGGCCAGCGATCAGGACGGGTTTCGCGGCGGAATTCAAGAGCTCAGCCGCGGCTTCCACGGCAGCCTCTAGTCCCATCGGATTGCTGGTTTTGGGTACGAGCGAGAACGGGACGGGCTCATCGCCGACGAAGCTGGCGTGAGGAATCGCCGGGAGGTTACATCCGACGCTGATGTAAACGGGCTTCCTCTCCTTCAACGCGGTGGAGATCGCTCTGTCGATCAGCTCGTGGGCGTCGTCCAGGTTGTTGACCACGGCCTGGAAGGCGGTGACGGCCGTAAAGCAGCGGAGCTCCTGGGTGAAGTCTGGGAGTCCGATTGTGTGGTGGAGGATGCGATTGGTCCCGTAGTCGTTCGAATTGGGTCCGCCGACGATGCATATTACCGGGAGGTTGCGGGAGTAGGCACCGGCGATGGCGTTGATGACGCTGAGCCCGCCGACGGTGAACGTGACGACGCAGGCGGAGACGCCGCGGGACCGGGCGTAGCCGTCGGCGGCGTACCCGGCGTTGAGCTCGTTGCAGCAGCCGATCAGGTTGAGGTTTGGGTCGGCGATGAGGTGGTCGAGGAGGGTGAGGTTGAAGTCGCCGGGGACGGAGAAGACGTCGGTGATGCCGATTTGGACGAGGCGGCGGGCGAGGTGGCGGCCCAGAGTCGGCTCAGCCATGGTGACGATTGTACAGAGTGAGATTGCGGTGGCGGTGGGAAACGGGAATTGTTTGGTGGGTGAGAGTGTGAGTGTAGAAGAAGAAGTAGTAGTAGTAGTAGTAATATGGGAGATTGGGAGTGGAGAAGGAGTGATGGCTATGGTTTCCTCCATGGAAGGGAGCGAGAAGTTTGGGGAAGTTGTAATTAGAAAACACAGAGAATTGGAAGGAAGGAGACCAAGAGATTTGCAGGGGGAGAGACAAACGAGGGAACGACCGTGTCTCAGGGCAGGTGCCGGAGAGAGCTTCAACGGGAATTAATACGGATCGGTAGTTTTAGGAAAAAAGAAAAGTACATTTAAATACCCAAACTTTTGTAGTTTTGATGAAAATGTCTAGATCTTTCAGAATTTGTATTTAACAGCTCGAGCGAAGTCTGATCGTTGTTGAATACACCGAATACTTTAGAAACAAATAATATGTATTGGAATCAATATGGCTATTATACTCATAGACATATCCATGATTATATGTTTAAATAGACTAGATTGGGCCATATAGGTTGGAGCTGGAATCAATGGCCAAGAGGAAAGGGTCTTGCGATTTGTGGTTTTCTTCATGGTAGAAAGGAGGATGAGGGGCAAAGCACTTCCAATGAAGAGGAATCTGAGGATGATTGAGGACTTGAGAAGATGTGGAGCTATTCATGATGTTTAACTACTGCTTAATTTATTTTAGTATTTCAAATTATAAAGTATCGAATCATCTATACTAAATATTATGGCTATTCAAAAATAATTTCTTGCCACATAAGCACTTGTTGAATGCACAACTGCACAAGTTGCCAATGTGGACAATTTTTTTCAAACAAAAAACTATTTATTGATCTATTTATGAAGTTGTCTCTCTCTTCTTTTAATAATTCTACTCATTTTTACTAAAATTAAAATAGGTTAATTTTTTAGGAAACATTTAAACAAAAAACACACACCTAAGTAATAAAAAAAAATTCGATTAAACAAACTATAAAGATGGAAACAGAGAGTGACATATATTATATTTGTTTAACCCAAGCTGATTAAATCTGATTAAGTAAATTTTCTACTCATTTTTACTAAAACTTAATATTAAGTTACATTTTGATGGAAAAAAAACAAGCACACACATAAATATTAATATTTTTCAATACAAAATATAAACGATAATCTATGAGAAAATAAACGTTTGACAATCAATCGACTTTGAGAAATGAACGATATGACTATATGTTTTTTGCTATCAAACACTCACTTCTTTCTTATGTATATACCTATCAAATAAAACAAGTATAAATTATATAGCAAAATGTCTTAATATAAACTTGACAGAGCAATAATTGTTATTTTTTTAAAAACTTCTTATTCATTTCGATTAAATGAAAACATATTAATTATTAATGCAAACTTTTAATTTGTTTCTATCCCTTTCCCCATTTTGATTGTCTCTCTAGAAATAAAATCCAACATTGAAAATAAGAAATCAAGAAAGTATGTCAACCACCATAAAAATAAACAAAGCCCTCTTATTAGTTGCTAAATATTTTGAGATTTCTAATATTTGTATTCTCATAATTTATAGAGAAGGAAATGGTAATGCATACGTTTTTTTTTTCTTTGTATGAGAATATGAGGCAGAAATTACACGAGACAACGATAAGATGACAAAATTTTGAGCAGTTGTAACATATTTTTGCCTGTTGACGAAAAAAGTTAATATGATCATTGTGAAGGTGAGGTGAACCAAGCCGAGGGTTGTCGAGTGCTCCCTCTTCCTCCTTGATCTAAAGCTGGCAACTGGTCTCACTTTCTCAGCGATATGTTATTGTTTGCGGTTGACTGGCCGAGTTATACTCTTTTTCCCATTCTTTTCTTAATTTCTTCCAAATTACGACTGCTGGATGGTAAATTTTCCCGCTCTCGATGAGTGAATATATTTCTTCTTTGTTTTTGTACTGAGAAGGGTCGCCATATACTTTCATGTATATAAAATATAATTAGAAGAGTTAATTGGTTAGACTTAGGGCATGCCTCCTTTAGTTGAATAATTGATCATTTTTCTTGAATGCCTATTGCAACCCGATTTCTTGAATGTTGAAATGGAAAGTAGAGTTGTGATGATTGTTTATTATATTTTATGTTCATGATTGACATGCTACTACTAGCTAGCTATACAATGATGATCTGGTTAGTAATTAGTAGGTAGCAAAGGGGTTATAAGTAGAAGGGAACATAATTGGGGTTTTATAAATGTCGCGAAGAAGAAAGAAAATGATAATGGTGGTTTCTTGGTTGTCTATTTCGATGATTTTTTAATTTCTACATGTTTGCGGTGACATTTGTTTGTTTCATTAAGGTGAATTTTTCTGCATTGAATCCCTAACTAAAGATTGATTTTGACATGATTGTTTTTTTACAAACTACTATTTGGATTGATGCATATATTCAGTTCACAAATGAGGAATCTGAATGATAAAATGAGCTGAGTTGTATTGAAGACTGCTCCTTTCATTATTTGTCTATGTTGTTATTATGTAATAAAGCACAATTCTTTTCTGCAAGGAGATATGTAGCTCTCTACAAAATATAAATTATGTTTAATTATATGCAGTTTAATTTGCTAAAAATATTGCTTTAATAAGTTAGTGACAGCTGATAGTTTTGTTTGTGGTAGGTTTTGTTAGAACATTTCAAGGTAATTAAACAAGTACGTGGAAGATTGATGGACGTGGATGCTAATGAGTTTCCTCATTATTCCAAAATTGTATGTGTAATTATCATATACTGACATGAGAAGGGAGAGAAAATAAAAAGCTCTTCGCTTATTTTTTTTATTAATTGAAGCACAATTTCTTATTCTAACTTCTTCTTTTGTGGCCGTAAGTTTTTTAACTTCTTTATCACAATTCTGTGCTAAAGAATGAATAATCTCTTATGTTTATAATCTTAAAGGGCGAGTTCGATAAAAAAAATTCTAAATCAATAAAGAACTGTCTACAAAGAGCTCAGTTAATAAAATTAAAATGTTCATAAATAAACAAAAGGTATAAAAGTATGAAATAATACCTGAAATAAGGTAAGTGGGATTTACAATTCCATGTATATTACCTTAGCAAACATAAATAATAATAATAACAATTAGAGTACTATAACGAATTATAAAACAACCAAACAAAATACACCGCCCAACGGGCGGGTAAAAAACTAGTGACATTATATGTATCATTTATTTATGTGTTATTGGATGGTGATTTGGATTGTTGTTTCTTTGTGGGGACGAGATACGGTGACAACCCCTAAGGGGTTGTCAGATTCACAACCAAGGGTATTTTGGGTATGAAAAAAGGAATATATTAATTACCTTTTTTGTATTAATTAGCTTGGGAATTAAAAACCCATATTAAATACAATTTTTTTTAAATTTAAATCCTATACATTAATATCTCTATCTATCTCTCTCTCTCTCTTCCTTTCTCCAGCGGCCACTCTGCATCGACGGACAAACTTTTTCTCCGGCGAATTCTCTCCGGCAGACTCCCTCCGGCAATCTGAAAAAAATGTATCAGTGCGTTAAAAAGTGTACCAATCCATTAGTCTACTGGTAATTAATATACCAGTGCGTTAAAAAATGTACCAGTACTAGTGGTACGCTACCAGTGCGTTAAAAAATGTACCAGTACTAGTGGTACGCTACCAGTACAACGCTACCACTACCATATTACATCGTACCACTAGCACTGGTAGCGGTACCAGTAGAGAATAACACAAAAAAACAGATGATAGTGGTATCATATGATAGTGGTACCAGATGATAGTGGTACCAGTGAGTAGCGGTAGGGGAGCCACTGGTACGTACCAGTGAGTAGTGGTAGCGTACCAATAGGAATTGGTACTACTAGCATTGGCGGTCTTCTCCTCGAGATTCTTTGCACCCTCGGCGGTGTCCTTGGCGTCGAGGAGGTCGTTGAAGCCGACGCCGGAGGCAGAGAGATGGTGTAGAGCGGCATGGAGCGCATGGTGTTGTCGATGGGCGGATCGGAGGGGCGGCGGATCTGGAGCGCGACGATCTGGACGTCGATCTGGACGTTGCTGATGAGAACGCGGACGGAGCCAATCTGGACGTCGCGGAGCCAGGCGGCGGCGTAGATCTCGATCATGATGGCGGGGACAGCAGGCTGTGAACGGTGGGCATGGAAGAGTAAGAGGGAGATGCGGCGGCGCAACGTCCGCGGAAGAAAGGGAGGAAGGGAAGAAGGAGGTGGTGAGCGGCTGTGAAGTTGGCATGAGTTAGATTAGGGTTTTATTATTTTATATGGGAGGAAAAATGATTGGGTGTGGTAAGTTTTTTTCATCCCAAAAACACCATTCTTTTCATCTCAACCTTCAATTTAAAAATAATAGGAAAGAGACAAGAGAGATAATACATCTAATGGCTATAAAGTGGGTTGTCAAACCCACAACCCCTTAAGGGGTTGTCACCATAACTCGTCCCTGTGGGATTACTAGGTAACCAGTAACCACGGGTAATTACTAATTACTACCCACACCGTGTGATTAATAGGTAACCGCTAAACCGATGCGGTGAGGGTCTGGTAAGCATATTCACCACTAAAATGAGTATGGGTAGCCGTCGTAAACGGAGCAGTTAATCGTAACCACACCGATTGCCATCCCCACCATTATTTACTGGTATTCCGAAGCTCTGTTTATGAACGATAGGCTACAAAACTTGTCCGGCTATCACCCAGAACAAAACATCAAGGTAACAAGACAACAGATTTTCATGCACTCCATCTCTTACTTTCGAACAAGCTACTGGGCGTCTGCATTCAAGAGACCAAAGCAGCAAGTCTCCATGATAAGAACACAGCCACATTCCTAATTTCATAGCCGTCCACAGACATCGACGGAAAAAAAAAAGAAAAAAAAAAAGATTCCAGCACCTTTCTTGATAGACTTCCTTTGATAAAACAAAACTAACGAACTGCTCTTGTTTCTATCCACTTAGAAATACTCTTTCAACAAAGTGCTCTGTTGCTTCTTCAACTGAGGAGATGTCCTTTTGGCTACATTGAGGCCGTCAAGATCTCGTACAAGGAAGTTCCCCAGCTGCAGATACCTACCGTTTAGATAACGAAATCAGATCGAGCCTTCTTTGCATCTTCCTTCACTGGTTCTCCTGCAAAATCATACAAGCGATGGCGTCGGATGCTGTTGATGATGAGACAATACATTAAGTAGCTTGTAACATGAAGGCAATCCTCTGATTAGGCAGCAGATGTTAAATTTACCAGTGGACATAAGCCTGAACAGTGGACAGGAACAGACTTATGAAAATATGAAATGTACATAACTACAGATACCGTACAAATCAATTTATCATTCTAATCAACAGATGCAAACGTCGAGCATCCACCTACCCTCTTCATCATAATAACCTCAGCCTACTTTCTTTGCTTATAATCTTTCTACTGGAAGAGAAACCCTGATTCAATGGTAAAAGGCAAAACAGGGGAAACCCGAATCAAGTCCTAATAGCTAGATGTTCAAATAGCAGAAACTCACTTTGCACATTCAGCGTAAACAGAATAATGCGTCTTCATCTATTGGCTCAGAGCCATCACTTCAGTAACTGCAATAATTTAGTTACCCATAACCATTAAGCAGAAATTCATCACCCCTTTCAAGCTAGCTCATACCGATTCCTTTCTCTGTCCTTCAAACTTAAGCAAGGCAAAGTATGAATATATTCTATCATTGTACGCACTAGTCCAAGATCCTAGTAGAAAAATCTCACCCAAACCAAATTGAAACTAGCAACACTGCCAGCCAACAAATTGGCTCTCATCCATTCATTCATTCATAAGAACGCTCTTTATTCCTAAAATTTATACAAATTGAACTCCTCCCGCTGGAACGGCAGCGCAATCCGATTTCCGACGACAAAGGACAGCATAATAAAACCCTAGCATTAGTGCATTACCAGTTGGTTGAGGCGCGGGCGAGTAACCGTAAATAGCCTGGAGTCTGGCGAGAGGGATGGAAGACGAGCCAGCAGAGGCTTCGGCGAAGAGCTGCTGTTTCCATTCCCACATGGATTTCTTCATGGATTTGTTGGAACTGACCAGCGACGCTTTCTCCGCCTCCAGAGCATCAAGTTGACGTTGCTGGTAGCTTGATCGCAGGCCGAGAGCCACGAAGGCTCCGACCAGGAAGGCGTTTATGACCGTGTTATTGTCGGCGGCTTTCATCGCCGCGGATATCAATCTGTTCGCCGCTTCCATTTCTCTTGGCTCTGGGCAGGGCAGGACGGCAGGACTCGCAAGAGGAGACAACGCAAGTGGGTCGGGTCGGGTACGGATAGTGCATATCCATTACCCTACCCAAAGTAGTTTGGGTTTTACTCATACCCATACTCACATATAAAACGGGTAGAAAATTAAAACCATACCCATACCCGTTCGGATTTCGGATATCCACGGTTATTCATGGGTAATGATTTCTCTTCATAACTCCAACTAATATGTTAACATTTACACGTATTCTCACATTACGCAAGAGGAAAAGTATGACAATAATTCACTAGAATGAAGAAAATTAATTAAAACAACACAATTTCATGAAAATATTATATTTATATGCTAAATATAAAATATGTTAGAGAAAAATAATGACTATTTATAGATAAAATACATATATATGTGTATAATCGGGCGGGTTCGGGTTGGATACTGAGAAACCCATGCCCACCCATTACCCGCAATATTCGGGTTCAGCTTTTACCCGTACCCACTAAATGTCCTTCGGGTTCGGGTTTTACCCTACCCGATTAGGCCGGGTTCAGGTGGATATCCACGGTTACGGATATTTTTGCCATCCCTAGAGACAACAGAACGAACTAAGGGAAAAAATCCTAAAATACACATGTTTTAAAAAAAAATCCCAAAATACACACGTTATAAAAAAATTTCCCAAAATACACATGTTTGGGCATCACCGCTGTTGTCAACCGCAGTGATTGCATTCACCGCGGCAGACCAAAGCGGTGAATGCATCACCGCGGTTTCAAACAAACGTAACTTTGCGCTCGGTTATCCGATTGTAGCGAATTTTTTTTATTCCACATAACTTTTCAAGATCTTTCAATCTGCAACAAACCTTCATCCCAAAAAAAATTCGTTTGCTACCCCGAACGAGCAATTTTTCGATTTTGACAAACTTTGGAAGACCATAACTTTGTGCTCCACAATCCGAATGTCATGAAACTTTTTTTGATTTTGCATAACTTTTGAAGTACTACAACTTTTATTATAACTATAATTTTGGAAAGTATGTGGATTTGTGAAAAGTAAAGGCAAAGTTATTGCCAAAATCCCGTATACCCAAAAACATTTCTTTTTTTTTAAATTCTTTCCTAGTAAACGTTGTATTTCTTAAAAAGTTATGCGCAATAAAAAAAAACTTTACGACGTTCGGATTGACGAGCTAAAAGTTATGGTCTTCTAAAGTTTGGCAAAATCGAAAAATTGCTCGTTCGGGGTAACAAATGACATTTTTTTGAGATTAAATCTTTCTTCAGATTGAAAGATCTTGAAAAGTTATATGGAATCAAAAAAAGTTTCGCTAGAATCGGATAACCGAGCGCAAAGTTACGTTTGTTTTAAGTTTCAGTGTTACGTCAGGCATTCACCGCGGCCGTCAACCGCGGTGATGCATTCACCGCTTTGGTTTGCCCGTTGACAACAGCGGTGATGCACAAACATGTGTATTTTGGGAATTTTTTTATAACGCGTGTATTTTGAGAATTTTTAAAAAAAATATATGTATTATGGGATTTTCTATTTCTACTTTCTACTTTCTACAAGAACGGACTCCGTTTGGGGTAAATTACAGATTTTTTCCATTATTTAAACATTTTATGATTCCCGGTTTAGTACCCAAACTCTTAAGAATTCGTCATTAGGCTTTCTAAACGTATTGGCATGTAATTTAGCTTCTGGAACTTTTATCGAAAGTCATGGCCTTGTAAATGTCAAGGCATGGGCCGTTCCTTTGGAATGCTTCTTGGGTGTTTTCGGACTAAACCCAGCTCTCCTCTCTCAAAAATTGCAACATCAGTTTTGTCCCGGCAGAGTTGCACGAGTCAGGGTTTCATGTCACCGTCGTGACGTCGGCCAGAAACTCACTGCGTCATATGCACAAGTTACAATTGTGTTGCCCATTTCACGGTTGAAACTGTGACATGTGTTGGCCGGTTGTGGCGTGTGTAGTCACTGTCGAAAGTCCCAACGTCTTTTGTAAATGTCACAATCTGAAACTATGACTTCTGCAATGCCCCTACAAATGATTTAGCTCCTGAAAGGCTGAAAGCCTGAAACTTTTGTCGAAAGTCACGACCTCTCTTGTAAATGTCATTGCATGTGTTGTGACATGTGGGCTCTATACCAATTTTGACTCCAAATGGTCTAACAATTATTCCTTCGCAATATTCACTTGCTAGAATCTGAAATATACTAAACCAAACACAACCTAGCGTGAAAACAAGCTAAATAACGAAAAATATCAAGCTAAACGATCAAGGATTGAAAGTCTAAACATGTATAATTAAAGCCTGAATCATGCACTCTAAAGCAAAATCATGCAAGAGATTGACTAAAATGAACAATTATGGGAAAATCACCATGACGCACCCCAATAATATAACTTGTGATAATATGCCCAAAACAGACATTATCGTGATCGAAAAAAGAATTGAGATATAATAGTCGTTGTAATATAAGATAAAACAATAGGAAAATGAGTGTAAATGTAACACCTTAGGCGAATCCCACATCAACAAAGCATGGGAGAGATCCATGGTTCATAAGTAAGAAACCGGCCTTAACTGACAAGACGTGTTTTGGGGTGTAATGGAAACGTGCTCAGTGTGGAGTACAACAAGGATGGGTGACCTTATGGGAAGTCACCTTGAATTGCACCCCAAGTCGAAATCCGTGCGGGTGTAAAGGCCCAAAGCGGACAGTATCTTGTCAGAAAAAGGTTCGAGGTGTTACAAGTGGTATCAGAGCCTCTCCGCGTCCCTCTTGAACGATGGTGGGGCAAACCTCAACGAGGACGTTGAGTCACAAGGGGGGAGTATGTAACACCTTAGGCGAATCCCACATCGACAAAGCACGGGAGAGATCCATGGTTCATAAGTAAGAAACCGGCCTTAACTGACAAGACGCATTTTGGGGTGTAATAGAAACGTGCTCAGTGTGGAGTACAACAAGGATGGGTGACCTTATGGGAAGTCACCTTGAATTGCACCCCAAGTCGAAATCCGTGCGGGTGTAGAGGCCCAAAGCGGACAGTATCTTGTTGGGAAAAGGTTCGGGGTGTTACAGTAAATGGTCCTAGGAAAAAATCCAAAAGTGCCACGTTTAAAAAAATTCCAACAATACCACCCAACCCCAAAAAATTCCAAAAATACCTCCTTTTTCAAAAACCGCCACCCCACCCAGCGGTTTGGTCCAAATTTTTTTTCTTTTCGATAAACTCCTAACTTCGGCCGGGACTTCAAACGAACGTAACTTTGCACTTGGGTATCCGATCGCTACGATTTTTTTTCTTTTTGAATCCGAATAACTTTTTGAGATCTTGCAAGCTGCAAACCGCCTGCGTCATTTGCTACGGTTTGGTCCCGTCTTTGTCTCGAAAAAACGTCATTTGCTACCTCGAACGAGCCTTTTTTTCGATTCGGCAAACTTTGTGCTCCAAAATCCGAACGTCATGATTTTTTTTTTCATTTCACATAATTTTTTAAGATCTACAAGTTTTACTAGGATGAAATTTTCAAAACAGGAATTAGTTTTGGATATACGGGACCTTGGGAATAACTTTACCTTTACTTTTCACAAATCCATGTACATTTCGAAATTATGGTTATGTTAAAAGTTGTAATAATTGAAAAGTTATGCGGAATCACAAAAAATTATGACACTCGGATTTTGTAGCACAAAGTTATGGACGTCCAAAGTTTGATGAAATCGAAAAAAGGCTCGTTCGGGGTAGTAAATGACGTTTTTTCGAGACGAAGGCGGGACCAGCTTGCAAGATCTTGAAAAGTTATTCGGATTCAAAAAAAAATTGTAGCTATCGGATACCCGAGTACAAAGTTACGTTCGTTTGAAGTTCCGGCCGAAGTTAGGAGTTCATCGGAAAAAAAAGTTTGGACCAAACCGCTGTGTGGGGTGGCGATTTGGCCCAAAACCGGCCCCCACCCATCGGTTTTCATAACCGCCCATTAGCCCAACGGTTTGCATCAAAAACTGTGCCCCACTCAATGGTTTTCGTGTAAACCACAGGGTGGGGTGAAGATATTTTAAAAATGGTAATTTTTTTAGAATTTTTTTTTTAACAATGGTATTTCTGAAAATAGTCCTATGAGTTTTGACGTGATTTTATTTAGGGAATAAATAAGATTTTCAACCGGCTCTCTGGGCATGTTAGGAGTTAGGAGAATGGGCTTTCCTTAATAGGAACAAAGATACAAAGTCAATAAACGAACCCCTACCACATCTGTGGGCTATAAAGATCTCCGCCCAGAAACTGAAAGAACGTCTCTTCCAGGTTTGTCAGTAGGACTGCAAATGAGCCGAGTCGAGTTTTATTTTTGTTTAAGTTTGGGTCGTTAATAAACGAGTTGAACTCGAGCTCAGCTCATTTATTAACGAGCCGAGTCGAGTCGATTTCGAGCTAGCTTGTTTATTAAAATTTTAACTTTTATTTGATACTTCATTTTGTATATCATAATACATATGATTTATTTTGATAGCTAATCTCATATTATACTTTGTTGGTATCATATATCATTTAGTTAATAAATTTTAACTACTCCAAATCATGTTATTTCATAGTATCGAAGCAATTTATGATGCATAATTTCTTTTTAAAGTAGAAAATAAGATATATTGCTCACAAACTCAACGTGTTAAACATTATATATAGTGAGATATATAATTTAACAACCATATGAATTAAAATCATAAGATATAGATTGATTCGTCCATAAGTTGGTAATCGAGTTGGCTCTCTAGCCACATGTCAAGACATATCATGAGCTCAAAACGAGCCAGCTCACGAGTTTAGTTCAACAAACCACCGAATCGAGCTAGCTCGCGAGCTGAACAAAAGTAAACTCGTGTTCGGCTCGTTTATTAACGAGTCGAGTTTCGAACGAGCTTTTCTCGGCGACTCATTTGCGGCCCTATTTGCCAGTCCTAGAAGAAAAACAGAGGCTAGCCGCTAGCGTCTTTTTTGTTCTTCGTCGCTTTTTTTAGATCGTCTTAGAAAATTTAGATTCTTGGGCAGATTTTCTATATATATTTTGTGTACTTATTAACTTTTTCCCTCTTCTCTTTACTTCAGGAAGAAAAGGGAAGAGGAGAAGCCCGCCTTGCAAATATGGTCTCCAGCTCTGTTTTTACTCGAGATGAGGTAAAGTTTTATTTTCTCTCTTAAAATCAATGATCGAAAAATCGTATTGCTGGTTGATAAAAATCTCATACGAGAAGCTAAACCAATATGGTTTCAATACCTCGGTATATCAATGATTAATCCTTGTTTAAAACTGATTAGTTTGGTTTAGGGAAAGAGTATAAAGTTGCATACTTTCATAGTTTGATTGATTACTTCTCGCTAGAAAGAAGAAGATCGGATTAGTAACTTGCCAGATGAAATCCTTTGGGGCAATGCATTCTATCCCTATTGACGCCTAAGGAAGCGGTGAAGACTTCTTTACTCTCACGTAGATGGGTAGATTTGTGGCTATCAGCTCTACCTGTGGTGGATTTCAATACCCCGAAAGTGTCACCGGCGAGAAGAAGAGAGTTCAAAAAATGGGCAAGTGGGTCTGTGAGGCAGCGCAAGGGTACCACCTCAACCTCAAAACGTTCCAAGTTCAGAGTTTCATTCACATTGAGCAATCAATACAGCTTCGATGGGGATAAGCACGAATGGCTGAAGTTCACAATATCAAATCTGTTCGAGTATCTCAAGCTGTCCTCGAGCAGTCCTATACCGACTTCTACCAGTGACAACGAGAGTTATGTCTTCCCGAAGTATTGTTTCGATAACATCGTTATGCGATCTGGGTTGTCTGATGTCAAGTCCCTCAGATCCTTGCGTTTGATTCATGTTAAGGTCAAGGCTATGACGATTGAACACTTCATCATGAATTGCCCCTATCTTGAAGAATTGGGCGTGTACAAGTCAGATGAACTAGTGAAGCTAAAGATTGCTGCTACTGCTACAGCTTCATCATCATCATCGTCCTCGTCACTTGCGTTGAAGCGCTTGGAAATGGTGAGGTGCAGTTTTCTAAGGTCACTGGAGATTGATAACGTCCCATGCCTCACCCACTTTGCATTTGAAGGTCACCGTACGGTGAAGCTGCGTTTGAAGAATTGTGTTAGCCTTGTGGATGTAAACATAGGCTTTGATGCTTGCATATCCAGTTTAGCATTTGACAACATCTCCTGCTATGCTGGTCAGTTGGCTGCCCGGTGAGTATACAAGATGAAGAGATGAATGAAGCACACTGCTAGTGTGCTTAATGTTCTTGTTGGCCTGATACATACTTGCTGTTGTTGTTTTTTACACAGATGTTCCGTCAATTTTCGAATGCAGTAGAGTTCGTTCGTCTCGAGCGGTTGACCGTCGAAAACGTTTGGAAATTTCGACCTTCATGTCCATGGTTTGGATATTTTG